CATCCTAACTTTAGCGAACCATCAGTAGGAATGAAGATTTCTTGAGGGGTCACATTGACAAGTTTGCAGAAAGGATTATAGTAACAGTTACAGCTATCAATGGTTCAGTTGTATTCTTACGGTCCATTTGTTTGGATTTATCTTTTAAATCTTTAGGCAGGAACGTTGATTGTAAAATAATGAAGAACTGAAAGGTATGAAAAATGATGAGGACTGACTTTACATGGAATCTTTCTCCGTGCATTACATTTGCTCCATGTTAACTAGTGTTCGTCAGTTTTTACTCTGTACGTTTAGCTCACCTTCCCTTCAATGCTGATAACGATGTCGTCAAATTGTCCAGCACCATGCATAGAATATTCCTTTAAAACAGGCCCGACCGATCCCCAAACCCTACTTTCCAAACATTCACAACTTCACTCGCTGGAATTTTCTCCTTGTAATCCTGGTTGGAAAATTCCATCAACGGCTCTGGGTATTTATTTATTGTAAACAAAGCGCGGCGGCCACGTGCCCAGTATTGGCACAATAAACTTTAGTTTTGTTTGTGTAATAAAGGCGATGAAAATCAAGCCACGCTTCTGGGGGCAAAGTTTGTGGGTACTATGTTCCGAACTTGTACTGTAAGCTAACCCTCTCCACAGATTTATGAACAGAAACCCTGGAGTTATCAAGCATATAAATATAAAGCTTAACGTTCTGCGAATGTGACATTAGTTTTGTTCAAACCCATATTCAGTCATACTTGGGGAAATGTCGAGAATCAAAATTACTTGTTTTCGCCACAAATGAGGAATGTTCTGAGCATATCTGGCTATTTTGTTGGAGATCAAGGTGTTCTTTAACAAATATTAGCAAGAAATTTTGCAATGCGCTCCCTTTTTCCCGTGAAAACCTGTCCATGTTTTTTTAATTGTCATTTTTGCCTGTTTTTATTTTTTGTAGTTCTTGAACAGTTAATACGCACATGTTAAAATGTAGCCGCAATGTATGAAAACTCTTTTACATTCCTATTTGGTTAAATGCACCGAAAAGCGCACTTTTAAAAAAATTTGAGTTGTCCATGCTTTCCCGAACAAGAGAGGGCGGGGTTGCTGTGATGTCATTCAGGGAAGACATAGTTCGTTGCATTGGTTTTTCTGTTAATTAAAAATGTGACCCAGAGTTTACTTATTGAAAACAATTTATAGGAAGGGATTGAGTGCTCTTTATGCATATAAATAACAACGAATCAGAAGAGAAATTTTGTCCAGAAATCTTCGAAAATTCAGGCCTTTCTTCTGTCAATTAAGCCAGTGTAACATGTAGGTTCTTCATTGGATGACATTACAGTTTTGCTGATGAATACGGAAATCTCATTAGCACAAAAAAACTCAGTAAAACTCCCTTTCATAGTTACACAAACCTTGAAAATAAAGTTAACTGAAAGGTTAAGGTGCGTTTTGAAGGTTTGTATTAGAACAAATTGAGTGCATCTACCCTTTAAATGCCAACAAAGTACATGTATAGGTGCACTAAAGATATTAATTTGTTTTTTTCATTGATGAAGCTAAGGTTTACTTGGTCGCGAAAATGTTCAGAAAACCAGCTGAAATTTTGGGTTAATTTTCTTATTTCCTTTTGTTTATTCATCTCGTAGTAAATGAACAAGTTTCCTCTTGGTCATTTACCTCTAAAAGAAAAAAGATAAATCCAGGGGCGCAAAATTGATGGGGACTAATTGATCATGATTGCACTCACTTTGACGTCACTCATCGTTGTTTGCCTTGATCCATTGCGTATTGTGATTGGTTGAATACAAACTCCACTAAGAGATCAAATATACCAATGAAACAAAGGCTCAAAAAGCCTTCCTCTAAAAGAGACCAGGAGCCTTGGAATAAAAATTCCTGACTTGTGATATCACATCAAAATTATAAGATCATTTTAATTGTAGGAACACTTAAGTTCCCTCAGCAGGTTTCTAGGTCAAACCTTACTATTAACAAAGATTTCCTTACTACTCAAATGGGTCATTCCATGAGGTGGGACACAATTTGTGACGGTGTCCTTGTTACATCCCAAACTTGTACCACCTGTCATGACCTGTAGACTACACACACCTCTGTGTTCAGCCTTGCAATATGTATAACAACAATGTCAATTTCATTTTTACGAAACCCCTGTAACAAGTGACGCCGTCACAAATTGTGACCCAACCTCATGGAATGACCCAAATAAGAACTTCTAGGATCCATTGCAAATGACATCATTCTCGTACTTACAAAAGCCGAAAATTTGTTGAATTTCTTCAAATCACAGTCTGTAATATATGTGTATGAACAAAAGCCAAACTTTCCTGTGCTTTTGTCTTAGTTAAAACCATCAGACAGGCATCATTTGCCTGTGGTCTCCTCCTAATTATACACATTTGTAGCAGGTGTAGCTCCACCACCCAACCCATCTTTCCAGTGAGGCTGTTTTCAGCTCTGAGGTACCGTGTGTAAATAGATAATTTTTTATTTTTGAAATCAAACAATTAGCTGAGCTCTCCATGGTGCAATACATGATAGTCAATCTTCTGGTGCAAACATTATTTGCAGCATGCAGGAATGTATGTCATTATTCTACGGACGGGTTAATAATTTTCGGCGAGTGGCAAGAAATATTAGTGTATAAATTAGTTGTTACACCGCCATGTTTGTTTACTCGCGAAAACCCATTCCCTTGTAATCCCCATCTCGGTAAAAAAAGAGGTCGAGGGGGAACAATTTGAGCATAATTGAAGGATTACAAGGGGATTAGGCCGGCGAAGAATGGGGAATTTATATCCAGCTCATGTGAAGGGTGACTGGGGCTTATCAGCCATTGTCCAGTTAATGACGGCCAGCGTAGGTCGGACGGGAGCTGCCCTGGGGGCACCGCGACACCCAGCAGGGCCATCGCATCGCAACCGACTCGGCAACAGATGGTCGGCCCACCGTATGCCATCGCCCGCAGTGGATTGGTCCGGGAGCAAATTGAATCATTGGAGCATTTTTGTCCAGTTTTTCTTTCAACATTTATTACAAACTTTCATTTTTACTTCCCAAACGAAGAGTTTATGTAATTGTCTCGAAAGTTGAGTTTGATTGGCTCGATAGCCAGATTTCTTAAGAAAAAGTTTCCGAAGATCCCAATAGTGATTATTTCGCATTTTTAAATGTTACATGGCGACATCAGACTGTCAGATTTTGTGACACCTAGACTGCACTGCAAGTCCTCTCGATACCGAAAGGACTTGCATGACTTCGTCTCAGTGGCGTAACTAGGGCTGTTATGTCCAGGGGGCAACCGGGGGTTCACACATTGTTTTTAAAGGGGGCACCAAAAGACAGTGAGTTGCAGCAGAGGTTGTTCATGTATTTCAAATGGGGGGGGGGGGCATTTGGGGGGTACGTGCCCCCGTAGTTTAGGCCACTGCTCCGTGTGTAATTTTGTTACCAAATCGAACTATTAAAACCTTCAATCGAAATAGGCCTACTTGTATCTCTCAAAAAGTCTCAGTAGTGAATGTGAGTGATGTTTGAAGTTTTTGCTGTCCTTTTTGAGGCCAAAATAAAACGACCAAAATACAGCTATCCCTTGAATTAGGAAATACAGTTGCAACTTTGACATGGGAAGATGGATCGTCCAAATTTTGTCTCGAACACTGTTTTGCGTTCTAAATGTGCATCGACAACAGACAAGACAATTTTCTCATTTCACATCGTGATGTTTTGGAGGGGCTTGTAGATATATGGCGGATTTATTCCTTGAACGTCAGAGTGAAGACCTTCCGATTAAGCTTTTTCTTTCAGAACGGGCATGTCAACGATTTCACGCGCCGCAGCTGCAAGGCGAGGCACTTGAGAATGACACCCATGTCGCGGCCATTGTGGTCCTGAATACCCGCCAAAATGAACCACTTACCAACTCCTGCAATAAGTACCATGTCCAGGTACAACAACCCATCCAAACCTGTGACACAGATCGATGTCCAAGTGTGCTGCTTATAATTGGTAGGTTGATCGATAAATTTACTACAAACGCTGTGAGAGCCTTATAAAGCAGCATGTGAGCAGGGGCTTGTGTAAATTGATGGCCTATGGTGGCTTATAAAGCCCTGGACAACCTGCTGCACTTTTGGAGGGACGATTTCTGGCTGTTCTTGGAAGAGAGGTGACTTGCGAGTGGGATGGCATTGAAACGCTTAATCGATACTTCGGTTGGGGTTCAGGCTGAGAATAGAAAATCTCTAAGCATAGAAAGAAAGCACACTGTAGCAGGTAATTAATGAAGGAAGAGTGTTAAGCGTGTAATTAGACAGCACTTTGAAACATCAGTCGTGCTCGTGGTGTGGAGGGTCTGACAAGAAAGGGAAAACCCTGCTGGAAGCAAGCTCCCCAGCCACCCAACCGCAGTGAACCACAGGTCACTCATAACTGAGCTACTTGGCACCTCTTCAAAACCACTTGAGAGGCACTTCACGGGATCAGGAAGCTTTGAAGGGACCGCTGGGGAACAGTTGCTCAGTTAATTCTCCGACGGTACTAGTGAACGGCATGACTCATGACCCCCCCTCCCCCAAAGAAATTATAGTAATAATAATATTCTCCTGATGATTTTTTCAAAAAATGAACAACTCTCCTTTTCTCGGCATTTGCTGCCATACATTGTTTGGCACGCACAACGAACACAAGGCGAGAGTTCCCGTCGTGACGCAATCTACGTTCAGAATTCGCATCTTGCCATGAACAGAAAAAAATCTTTTTAGCTTGTTATAGTTGAGCTCTAGAGACAAACGACACTGCGTTTGATTGGATTCTTCCATATTTATTTAAAGAGATAAAATCAGAGAAAACATGTTTTCCTTAAAAGGCGCTCCGTAATACAAAATCGGCTCCAGCGCGATAAGCATATTGAGCGCCATCAAGTGTCCCGGGGTTGTCTATAGTTGTTCATCTTTGCGAGTTTACTTTTGCTCTTCTCTTGAGGGCGCTCGTCAATATGTCAGCCTACTTGCGACTCCTCTCACCAATCCGATCACGCCAAAGTTGCCCAGGGTAAATAAACCCTTTCTAAATTCCATATTTAGGCCTAAACGTTAATTAGGCTAGGCCTATACCTACAATTTACAAATTACAATCATCAGTGATCAGATCGATCAACTGATGTCTGATCATACTGATCATGACCATGATCTGATGATGACAATCATGGCAATGCATAGCCATGGCAATGCATAGTCAAGGCAAAAAGTGTTAGTAACATGGAGGAATAGGCCAAAAAATATGGCTACAGTATATTCCTCCACGGTCAGATGGTGATAGGAACAGTTACTGAGTTAGCACTAACAATAACTCACATTACTTAGCCTATTAGTCTACTAGTACTTAACTCAAGTAGTACCATGGAGGAATGAGAATATTCCTCCATATAAGCCTACTGAGACTGAGTAGTCATTAGTCATGGCACTAGGCCTAGTCTGCTACTAGTGTAATGTCACGCACTTGGAACAGGGAATAGCACTGCGTTCTCAAGGTGGGATATCGGGGAACTTTTGTTCACTATTGAATAGATTTTGGGTCTGCTCGTACCGAGTTAACTCGTGCCCTGGTCAAGTCGTACCCCAGTCAACTGGTACCCTTGAACACATGCGAATTGTGACCCAAACGGATTACGATTGTTTTCTTCCTTTTTACCCCAAACAGATTACGATAGTTTGCTTCCCTTCAATACCCGAATGGCCTACATGTAGTTTGTCTCCCCTTGTAAAGCGTTTACATTCAGTTCCTTAGTATGGAATGTGTGGAACACAGTTCATGTATCTACAGTGACCTCGCTTTGGGAAAAAAACAGGAAATAGAGAATGTGTGTAAAAGGTGATCACGCAAACTAGAGCGTGTATGGGGTTTCGAACCCGAACCTTGTTGTCGAAACTCTGTCTCCTTTTGTGTCTTTTTAATCTTTAGGTGACTCTCCTTAACGTAGCAGAAGTCAGACAGACATGATTGGTGTGCCACCTTGAATTGGAGAAAAGGCAGAGCGGTTTTTACCATAGCAGTGCAGTGCTGTGGAGACTTTCATCCCACTTGTTCCAAGTCATGGAAAAAAGTGGAAGGCTGCACAGCCCTGTCTCCACTGCTCGGACGTGTGATTCCACGGGCGCTTTCCAACCTCCCACCCCTGATACTCCTCCTCCTCCTCCCCCACCTCCGCAGATCCCCCCACCCCCGTGCCAGCCTCTTCCTCCCTTGGGTGGGGTTGGCTCCTCCGAGCTCGTTGGTGGTCTGGAGGAGAGCGTTGTGTGGGACGACGCAGGGAAGTCCTTGTCCCAAGCTGGGAAGGAGGAGATTGCAAAAGGGATTCAGAAGCTGCTCTCGTGGTTTGTTTCAGTTTTTGAGAATTTAGCACTTGCCATGATCAGAATTCTTACATGTAAACATGTAATGTATTAAAATCTGCAGCGAAGGGGCTGAAATTATCGCTATTTTGTATGACATGACCTTCGATTGGGAATAGGGCTGTGCCGAATAACCGAATATTCGATCGTCGAACATTCTAATATTATTTTTCAAATTTGAATATTCAAATGCAAAATTCATGAAAAGTAAGGGAAAATCTTTTTTGTTTTAAATGAAACATTACACTATGGAGGCCTGTTTCAAGCAGATTCAAATTAAAAGCTTCAGAAATCTTACGATTTAAAAAGGCAATTACTCATTGAACAACTTAAAAGGAATAGAAATTTCTGACAGGGCTGTAAGTCTTGTTCATCTCTTAAATCTTGCTAATCATGGCTGGAGATACTCCTAGATGTGAGAAGCTACATGTATTATACTGATCACAATGCACAAATGTGTGTGTTATTGTAACTGATTTTGTATATGGTTTGTTCATCAACAATTTGCCAGTTGGTAAGATTGAATATTGGGATATTCAAACAAATTGAAGGTCGAATATTTGAATAGTGAATTATTCAAACTGACTCTGCCCTCATTGGGAACCATTTAGGACATTTGAGAAAACCTTCCATTTTACATTCCCCTACAATATTTCAGGTTGGGAATAATGTCTAATTGCTTTTGAAGATTTTCAAAGGTATAGATAAACTTGAAGGATAATTTCTCCTCTTTGATTTTTTTCCCCACTAAAATCAAAGTAAAGTGGTAGCAGTACAATTGAATAAGCTTCCACTAATATGTTAGTGCTTGTACAGTAATGGAAAGCTGTGTCCAAATGACTTGGCTGTGGCTGGCACTAATGCATTCAGCTATGTAAAACACAAGCAAGAGGCAGCATGCATTGCCCATAGATTTATGTATTGTTTACAGTCACAGCCAAGTCCTTAAAGACTCTACCTTATTCTAACACTGCAGTTTGAGCTACTCGGCCATTTGAAGCCGTGAACAGCCATGACTGTGCATTGATTGCTCTGCAGGGGAATGTGTAGTGAAGAGGATGACACTGTGTGGATAGCAAGCAATCGCCACACAGCGCCCATCCTCCAGCATGGCCCAGAGTAAGTAATCTGATGTAGGCCTATAACAAGGGCAGGAAAAGTGTGAGTGGCAGTGGTTTTTTAGAGTGATACAGGGGCGAGGCTCACGATAACTACCAGCCTTGACTCCAAGGGCTGGGTTCGTGTTCCTTCGCCAACCCCTGGCCGTGTAAAGTGTGAAAATGACACTGGCTGGCTATTCAGACTGAATATGCCTAAGTTTAAAGTGAATTGCTTGCATATTTCAAAAGCTACACACTTGCATTTATGTACTCTCCTGCACATCACCAATGTGTAAGTCTGTCACGTGTAAACACATCGACTGCAATCCTAATTTCAATCTCCTAAATAGTGGAATGTTTACTCTCACAAAACAGAGGTTCAGATTAAGTAAGGCATGGTGGGAACCAATCTGGCACGGCAAGGTCATAAACAATGAGTTAACATCACACATAAATTACAAGGTGAGGGACTACAGAAACAAAGAATGAAGACGATTTTAATGTCACCATTCCCTGAAACAACTAAAAAAAAGAAATAGATTTAAAATAATCCCATCTTCAAAGACTCTGTGAATGGTTTCTTTGTAAGCTGTGGCATATCAGTGCACGTTTCCCATCTTGAGCCACACGTTGCTGGCATCAAGTCTGAAACCCTGACTCTGTAAATGTTTCTTTGGCAGATGTGGGATTGTAGCCCTTTGCATGGCTGTCAACATGGTGGAGCCAGTCTTAGCAGACAGGAGGCACATTGTGCAAACGGCCAAGAAGAAGGGGTACACTATTCAAGGAGAGATGTTCTCAGGTGATGAGATAGGACAGACAACATTAAGTAACTAGGCAAACAAACCCTCCAGAATTTCCTAGCAGCTGTGGAAAATCGTGATCTGTTCATCATGACTTGTTAAGTATGTGATTAGCTTCATCAGTTTAGGGAGTTATCTGGATGTGTATGTTTTCTTTTGATACAAAAGAGAGTGCTGGGCACACCAAGAATGGCACAATGTGTTGAATGTGTTTGTTGTCAGAAAAGTAAGAACTTTTTTCATTTAAAAAAAAATTATGTATTCTAGTGGGTCTGCAACCCTAGCTAGATGGAAGAAAAACTCTACTAGAAGAAGTAGCCTCAAACAAATTCAGAGAGTGGCTTCAAAACAGAAATGAATTAGTGAGCTGTATAAAATTACTAGCACCTCTATGATGTGAAGTCAGTTGTGCCCCATTGTTGCCGACACGTTCCCCTGCTTAATGAAAATTCACACTTCATCACTCACAGCCACAAATTTGTTGGAGCTGGGTTCCCAAGCCTGTGGTGTGCGCGGCAGAGTGCTGGCAGGAAACATGATGGACAACCGGGATGACATCATCGCGCACCTTGCCAGCGGTTGGCCTGTGCTGGTGCCGTATCCTCAATAAAAGTTTTAACCCTTAAATAGCCTGACTTTTTTACATCATCTCACAGCTGTTGAGCACCAGTTTCTATCAAAGCTAATTTACCAGTCTGAATCATGTTCTGTGGCACAATTTTACCGATATGGGTTGGAACAGTCAGTGGATTGCAATTGATTCTTGTGTCCCTGAGCAAGATCATTTGTTGTAACTGCCTTCCACTGAGACGAGTAGCTGGCCAAATTGGCCATATAGCATGGAGCCTATCTGAGCATTGGCATTGTAAGTCAGTGTTTATTAATCATTATGATTAGTGGAGGAAAGTGTAGTCTCAATGTCAAACTTTGGGCGGTCTTTTACTGTGGCTGAGATTTCCTTCAATGGCAAAGATATGACAAGGATGGCAACTGCGAGCCTTGCTGTCTGAGGGGTCACAAGGCACACTGGGCTGTCATTACAGGTAAAGTAAAGCTTGAATCCAATAGGCAGGTTTAATTTATCATGAAACTGGTCGAAGCTCTTGCCATATGATTGAAAGGCCAACAGTCACCTTTATAAAAAAGGGGGACACAAGTTGATATGCCCCTGGGTGGACATGGATTGATGGGGAGATTGAGATGGGTGTTTAGATAGATTGTCAGACAGATGGATTTAAGAGATATTTTTACATGAGGTTCTACTTTATTTCTGTAAGCATTAAGGTTGAAAGTAGGCTGCACTGCAGTTCAGTGATTATTTTGGACATTTTGGCAGGGTTTTTGCTCCAGTGCAAAAGACATGACTTGCAAGGTCTCCACACGACACAGATGTATCAGGATCTTGACATATTAAACCTGTACCACATCAGCAGTGGTAACTCTGATAAGGTCAACGCGCATGACATCCAAACGGTCCACGCAATCCTGCACCACGTTCCTACCTCGGATGTCTACGTTCTGGCCAGGCAGGGCAAGAGCAGACACACCCACCCCTGGAGGTACTGCACCCTGGCAGACAGCAACCGCAACCTGACAGAACTCGGCGGCAACATTGAAGCAGACATTGAGAGATACGTGATCCCAGAGGGCGGTATACAGGCAGGGCTGTGCGGCCAAGTTGTCTTGTTAAAACCATGATTAAAACAATCTTGCCAAGATGGTGTACCATCGCAGAACGGGAAGTATGGAGAAACACAGGTTATGAGATTATTTTAAAATGTTAAACATCTAAAACTAGTTTTACATCATCAATCGTCAGTAAACAATGCAGATCCTCAACTTTAGCAATTTTAGCAAAATTCTGTTCAAAAATTCTTGTGTGTGTGTAATGAATGTGCAGTATTAATAGTCATTCTGTACATGTGAGTCTGACTTGTGTGTTGGCAAAAGGCCATTTTAAGTATTCAGTAACTTTTCAGGGAATTTGTTGGATCAAAGAGGTAAATTTAAGTATGCAAATGCATGACAAAACGGGATATACATGTTTTGCCATGGAATATTTCCTGTCTTTTTTGGGGGGGGGTTGGCTAAAGTGATATTTCAAGCACTTTCCATGCCACACAAATACAACACGAGACAACATCTGATGACTTTCTTTGTTAATACATCCATTTATTCGCTGGTGATTAGCTAATTTTGACCTGACAATATCTTATAAAAAATTACACCACATGTACTCGAGAATCTGTTCAGTTTCACAGTACATGTACACACAACTTAAAAAAAAACCAAATTTGTCAACTGGTGCCAAGTGATGAATACAAGTGTCACAAACTGATGGATTGTGTGCAAAAAAGACCAACTGTCTCATCTAACCAACCACTGACTGTAATTACCAGTTTCAAAAGGGAGAAATTGTCTTTGTCAGTTTAATAGATCATACATTGTAACTATACACTAACTCGAATTTGAGATGAATTTGAAAAAAACATGTAATAAAGGGTTACATGCAACACCATACATCTCTTGGTTGGAAGTCTGAAGTCACTCATAGGTGGACAGTGGTATGCATAGTTCTGTCTAAACTTGTCTTTCCATAGGAGCATGGTTACCCCAGACCTTTTGGCCTTTATATTGTACAAGGCCTGATACACAACGAACATGGAACAGGCCTAACACCACGTGTATGAATGGCAATTTCGGTCTCTCCGAGATCGGGATGTCCCAGTGGATTGACTGTGACTGGAAACAACATGTGCCTATGGAGGCCACTGTCTTACGGCTGTGGCTACTTCCCATAGATGTGTTCACTATTTCTGGCTGCAACTGTTAACTGTCGTTAACAGTGACTTGAAATTTATTTTGAAAGTTAAAAGGGCCTGCTATTTGGACTCTTGTACAATCTGTCTCCAAAAAGACAGTTAAAAAAAACCCATGTTGAGTTATTTTTCCAGTTGCAACATTGAAACTTAATGACATGTGGCTTCCATATCCCCATATATAGTTGCAGTATATGTACAACATTTGCATGTACATGTATTTAATACCAATTGCACCACGCATAGTGGCAGAGGCAATCGGGCACAAGTCCATGGCAACATAGCTCGTGCATGGGTTTAATTAATCCCTTCTGCAAAACCTCAGCATAAGCTGACACCATCGTGGAATGAAACAGAGACTTTGACCAGAGTGTGATGTGAGCCTGCAATGTCCGGAATGCTAGCACGTCTGCTGGTGTTGGAACCAACGCTGTTATGGTGAGCACCGGTAAATGGCTGTATAGAGCTGTGTATCTGATACCCAAACGAATACTGCACAGGGGCTACCCACCTCTAGTTTTGTTTTCTGGTTTTAACACCCAGAACCCTTGCAAATTCCACAACTGCCTTTCTGAGAAACAAAAGCAGGACATTTCAATACTCAACAGCCGAAAATCAGAGAGAAAAAAAGTGTTTGCACGTGAAAAATAACTTCCCAGTAACATCTGGTCTACTCTACAGGCTAAAGCCAGAGGCATGCACTGCATTTAAATGCAAAGGAATCCTGCCCTGCTTAAAGCTAGGTCAGTGGAACTACCCTTAATTTGATTGAATATTCAGATGTGAATATGAAAATACCAAAAAACTTCCCATATTCCCTGATGACATGGGAAAATAGGACTAAAAACAGTGACTGTAGGTAAAACAAATACAACCAGCGTTTAATGTTGAGAATTATTTTTTTTGTGAAGACAGAAGTCAACTTCTGCTTCTGGAAGCTGCCAAAACGTTGGAGTGTGGCTGTAAAAATAGGGATGATGGGTGAGTGGAGAAGTAATTTTTTGGCCATACTAATAAGTCTTTCAATCAGCTGCCCTTAAAGTTGTTTTCATTACACCTTCAAGTCGTAAAGTCCCAGTTCTGTAGGTTCCTACCTATGTGCACAAAATTCAGTTTCCACTTCAATGATTCCGGATAAAGCTCATCCCAAGCCTTGGTGCAATTTCTTTGGCAGTTGCAAATTCAAATCCCATTCTGGTCAAAATCTTTGTCCTGCCCAAGAGTGAGTGAACGTTTGTGGTTCCTTACTTGATTATTTTTAGTACTATTAAAAGGTATACAAGGGTGGCATTGCCCCCAAAATCAAACTTTGAAAAATAGGATTTTTCATTCACTGAAAATCACCCAAACTTTTCAAATTTTGCTATGATCAATACAGAGCATATAGTTTTAAACATTAAGTTCGCTACAAGAAAAGTCACCAATCAACCATTTTTCAGAAAAGAAATCATAACAAGGAGTGTACATTTTTAAAAAGGTGCAATAAAACACTTGTTGAGAAAGTACATCGATAAAACTGGGCCACAATACACTTTTGCCATGACGTTTCTTGTCTCGGTGCTGTAATCCTCGATGGGGAAACAAAATTAAACATTTGACCAGGCTGAACAGTTACAGGCCAATACAAGCGTTTGGTTTTGAAAAACCAGACTATATATTCATTGGTGGAAAGCCGAAGTGTTAACCCTTAGCAATACTGTAGGCCCACTATTGGAATGTGCAGCCTTAATATCAATAATCGGTCGATCCTGATGTCACTGACATTTACAAAATCAGATGTCGTGGACATTTACAGATTTTATTTTGCACTCACTACACTGCACAGGATTGAAGACATGCTACCTGAAAACCTGTTCCCCCCCCTGAAAATCGGACAGATCATCAATTGACACTGATCGACAAATAGACAGTTGATAGTAACACTTTACAGAAAAACTAAAGAAAGTGCAAGTTTAAAACCTTGGTTTATGAGAGAATTATAAAGTCATACTTACCATGTCACTACACTGGAGAGAGAAAAAAAATTCAGCATGGGTACAAGTTCTGTCTTTGTCACCAATGGCCCAGTGCACAATTGTCTCTTATTTCCAGTTTTCAAATATGATTGTGAATGAATGTGATTTTTGTTCAAGTCAGTGTCTGTCACTTTTAATTTTCATAGTCGTCCAGTTTGTATTGTGTGTGTGTGAGAGTTCGGGACATGCGTCCTTTTTTCCCAGGTGAAGGCATGCCAAAAACATAACTGAAATCCCAAAGTATGTTGCGGACATTTTAGCTTTTCATTAGCATTTTCCCCGAGCTAAAAAAGGACCGTTAAAAACTGGATATAACACAGAAAAAACCTTGTGGTTGTAAATGGTTGGAATTTGATTTTTTTTTAATTTTACAGATTTGCATCAGTAGGTCTTGGTTCACAGGTTTTTTTTTTTACTTCAGACTCTTTCTTGGAAAAAATGACTTGGAATTTAATTTAACTTGAACAACTTTGGCTTAATATTAATAAATTTTTAATGATGGGAAAGTGTAACAATTACTTTCTATTTGAAAAAGCAAGCCTATATGAAAAAAAGCAGTCCTGCCTGTTTTCAATATGTATCAACATCTAATGATGAAAAAAATAGGCAGACAGATCTGTGGTGAGACCTGTATTAGAAAACAGGTAACATCGTCAAACAAACTGCACTATTCACCATCAAGATACAGGTTTGAAAACAAAAATGACAGGGGACAAATTACGAAAACAAAAACCAAGACTTTGGGAGTGACTTCTGACTTGACTTGCAGAGAAATGATTTGGTTTCAATTCATCTTGACTGTATGGTCTTCACTTCTTTAAGTTGTGGTTTGTGACTGGAATCTTGAGTTGCCTCTTTGTTTCGCCCTGTTTTTTGTTTCACAACGTGTGTCAGTTTGCAATCACTTCAACAAGTTGAACGAGAAAGGAAACCCTTTGGAATATACAGGACAATTGGATGAATTGAGTCCAGGAAAACAATGGTTCAATTTATAAACAAAAAAACAGGAAACTTGTACACCAACTGAATCTTCCTCTGGTTTCATTCCACACAATATCATTTATGCAGCACAGTTTTGAACACAAAATGACGACACAACACAAATCAACAAACTGGTTGCGGGACTGAAGCAACTTGACACTGGTAATACAGGGAGTCTGTTACATCCACTGAGAGTACAGGGCCTGCGGTGGTATCACATGAATTTCTTTCCCCAACAGAGTGAGAGAAAAATGCAACATTGAATTTGTCTCCTGGTCCATAGCACAATGATCTAAGGGCATGATGTTGCTAGATCTAGATCACACGGGATCCAAGAACGAAAAAGAGAACTGTGGGGGGGGGGGGAATACGATAAAACTTTCAACAGAGAAACCATATCTTGAACTGGACTTGAGCAAGCTTTCGTAAAGCGAAATCTTCCCTTGCAATACCAGACGTGCGGCCACGGAGCTGTGGCAGCAACCGATCAAAATAGACTGCAAGAATAAAACTCCAGCATCAGTGGGCAGGAAGAGTTTGGAAATGAGTCTTACGATTGGCCCTCCTGCTTTGTGGAGTGCCCTGAATGCTCCAAAACAGACTCTTGCTTTCATCACTGATATTCCATTCACAAACACTTTTAGAAGTATAATGTTTCGCAGACGTTAATTTTTCGTCACAAATGGCGGCCCAGTACAGCAAAGATCAAAAAAGCCTACAAACAGCAACACTGTCATTTACAGAAATGCCTAACAACCCTGTGACAAGGCTTCATGTGTATGTCCGCGAGGTATGCATGTACTGGTCTGGTGTGCATGTAACAGACATCTAGTATTACAATGTTGCTGGTGGTTGCAAAAATGAACGATTTGGTGAAATCGCTGAAAGCAGCATTGAAGGCATCACTGCTCCATGGGTTCATCCTCCCAGGACAACTCAGGCCTCTGGTCATCCTCTCGGTACAAAGCGCTCCGGAAGTCCTCCTCCTTCCCAGCCTCCCCTTCAACCTTTTCCTTCCCTTCATCTCGGTCTGCGCCATCGTCAATATCATCCGGTGGGCAGCCGGCTCTTTCCACCGGATGGGCTTCTCCATCTGGCTCGGCCTCCCGGCCGTTTCTCTCCTGCAACTCTCCCTCCTCCTCTTCCTCCATGGATGAAGCTTCTGATTCCGATCCCCGTTTCCCGACCCCATCCTTACCTGGCTCACCCTCCCCTGCTTCCCCCTCCTTGCCTCTATCCTCGACCAAGTCCTTGGCTTTCCCGAGGGCTGAATCCTCCCCTTCGCTATCCCTGGCATCCGGCGGCGTCGTGGGTGCTCCCTCGCCACTGCCCCTCCGTTCTCTCTGTTTGCCGTTCTTGCGCTCCTCATGCTTACCCTTACCATGCTTCTTCTTTTTATCTTTGGTCTTACCCTTTACCTCGGCTGTCTCCTTTCCCATGGGCTCTGTCTCCTTCCCGGCAGGCTCTGACTGCAACTCTCGTATCTCCGCTTCGATCTTAGCTCGGCGCTTCTTCATCATCTCTGCAACACAATCATCATTTTTTAATAATAGAGCTAAGGATTTCTGCCAAAGCTGGACTCCAAGTATACAAAGGGATACAATTAAACTTCAGATGCCAGCCATACTACGTTCACGGACTACATCTTAAGTGAAAGAGAAATCCCATTTGCCTGTTTTCAAGGCTAAGTTACACAAAGTTATTTCTATCCAATGTTATGTGCGATTAACCCTAACCCCCTTCGGTGCACGTAAAACCATAATGAAATCGGAGGATTTGGGACTGTTTGGAATCTACATGTACATGTATGTTACAAATAACAATGAAGTAGAAAACTACATGAAAAATTGCTTCAGAAGACTAAATCACGTTGTACATGTTGAAAAGAAACACAGCAGAATTTTACCATCAGAAATGCTTGACTTTCTATGCGTGAAGTACCACAATTCCTTCTGCATAATCTGAGCATCTGATTGTTAAAGTTCAATGCAGCCTGAATGTGTGCACAATGGCTGCATTCAAGCCATACACTGCTGGAGCCTTCCATACAAGGCGAGAGATCTGTCTGGATGTCGAAGCAGATTCTCGCTTTAAATTAACGCAGCTAATGCAAACGTATGACACACATGGCTGCTGTGAGCCATGTCAATGCCCAGCCACGAGTCGCACTGATCACAATAGGATCACAAGATTAAAAGATGAGGGTGATCCTCACAGCAAGTGCCAACCACTTAAAACTCTCATGCTGGAAGACCACAACCGATGCTTGTTTCTTGCCGTGGGGGGGGTCACAGTTGCAATCTAGCATAATTTTTTAGCCTCGCCTTGCAGCTCATGGAACGAGGTACAACGTCATGGACCTCTTCATTAAAAACATTTGGTGAGGACCAACTTGGAAATTAAGCTGTGACTCTACTGCTAACAAATAGGCCTCTGCTATTGTTTTTTCAAGTGCAGGGAAACGCCCCTTACCATTCAGCAGCTCCTTGGAGTCCAGCAGTTTTTTCTCAGTCACCAGCGAGGGCTTGGCTGGCTTGTAGAATATCGGGGGCTTGGCCTTGGTGCGGATGAAGTTGTTCAGCTTCTTGGTGTGGGCGTCCCAGGCATCTTGCTGCGTATGATGAAAGAAGACACGAATAACATGAATCACAATTGGGAACACTGGGTTGGTACATATGACGCTGTGTGAGGATTGCAGTGAGTAATTTCTTTCCTGCTCACTGCTGCTAACTTGTCCGTTTGAGTTACAGGTCTGGTGTGTGGCATACAACTTGTATCACAGACTCGTAACTCACATGTACAAGTTAAAACTCATCTTGGCAAATATAACAATTATAATGACCTATTACACACATGTACATGCATAAGCTCTATATGAATGATACATCATACCTGTAAGTAGACATACAATGTACTTACGAATTATCAATGTCATTTTAAGATGTACTTTGCATTGAGGAGATATTAATTATAATGTTGCCGGTAGTTTGAACCAAAGTACATCTTGAAATACTTGGAGGTACCCGCTGCTATATCTGACTCGGACCAGCCAGCCGACCCCGGCAAGCTCGGTGGTCGAGTGGTTAAGACATCTGCACTAGTACGCAGGAGGTCATGGGTTCGAGTCCCAAACAAGTAAGCTTGCAAAATTTTTTCACAAGCTCTCGGAATATATGAATACATGTATGAGGTAAGGGCAAAATAAATAATTGAAATTTATCGATTTTTACCTCTGAGCTGTGAAAGGACACTTTTTCTCAATGTTTCTTCATCTGCTTCACAGAGGTTGTGCATGGCAGCCATTTTGCTGGAAAGAACTTTTGTTCCACAGGGACACATATGAGTAGACCTTTTGTGCTATCCCTCCGTAACAAAGGAAGTTACCCTAAAGATGGCTGCCATGCACAACCACTATTGGTACAGTGGCTTTCCAAATTATTTGTACATCTCATATCAGAGGGCAATCATTTCATTCTAGTAGTTACGTAGGAGGACTCTTGTGCAGTGCAGGGGTCCTTCAAATGTGGATTTGAACCCAACCTACATGAGGGCATAGTTTCTTTTCCCAGTCACAAATTGAGAATGTAGGTCTATAACATGCCTGACAAATGTTTCAAACTTCTCACATTTAGCTCATGACAAAAACAAGCTTTGCCAAAATAAAACCTTGCCTGACTCACTGAGTGTCCACAAACAGCCAACAGTATTAATCCTTGCCGAGCTGTGCCAAGGATCAGGAACAAACTGTTGACATGACTCAAATGCTATGAGAGAAACCGTCTATGTAATATCCATTCTCCTTCCCTTTGAGGGTTGTTTTTTTTACCTCTTTTGCGATATCAACCAGCCTCTCCAGTTTCTGCAGCTCGGCTTGCTGGTTGCGTCGCTCCGTGAAGAGGTGCACCTTCTGGGCTGCCACCGCCTTCTTCTCCTCCAACGCTTGTTCCTCCAGCTTCTTTTCAATCTCCGATCGCTTCCGCTCCTAACCACCCCAGGAAATAGACCCCCAAAAAACTTCTGCCATCAGCAATCAATTATACTAGAGAACGAATCGGTATTGTGTAAAGTGCACGTACTTGCCAATAATTAACGAGCTACTCTCCACACTTTAATTATTCATAAAAATGGAAGAGTGCTTAAGCCAAACGTTTAATATAGTCATTCAGCACAGAAGTTTATTCATTAGTTTTTGAACATGGGTTCCTTCCCTGACACCGACGTACAGTATGTTCATAACACTGTATATACAGTATTGTCCAAGAGCTCGCTATAAGAATTTCACAGGCGTGATCGAGTGGGGCTCGAACCCACAACCTCCTGCTTAATAGTGCAGAAATCTTAACCACTCTGCCATCGAGCTTGCTTGGGTCGGCTGGCCGGTCCATGTCAAATGTAGCAGCGGGTACCGCAAACTGCTTTCACAGATGTACTTTGTGTCGGGGCGTCTTCCCGACAACGAGGAGTATACAGAGTAATGAATACACGTCGGTGTCAGGGCGGAAGACAAAATTACATTTTGTTTACTTGGTTTACTTAATTAAAAAAGACACACGCAAATACTGTGACTAAAATACAAACTTCAGTTCAGTTTAAAATTACCATTAGCCATAAAAAAACAGACTGCAGTTGGCACAAAAGATTTTTACCATCTTAAAGGGTTTGAATTTTAGTGGGAGGTCATAGGTTCACATTACGCAACGGATGCCACATGTACCTCAGCGTATACGAGCTGTGCAAACGTAGACGAATGCATGCAACTACATCAGAGTCAACCCCCTAAGAGGGCACTGGTATAGCAGGATGGAACAAACAATTCAAAGGCAAAGTAGCCTGGTTGATACCTTGCTCTCCATGTCGCTGGATTCCTGCTTGAATTTCTGCAGGGTTCCCAGCAGGTGGCCAAACATACGCCGATTCCTGCACAGATGGGGAAATATGGGCAAGCATGTAGCTCTTCAAATGACAACACAAACATGTAAGCACCGCATACTGCCGTATTACTAGCCTAACAGCATTAGCCCATGACCCGATATCTATCACCATTGTCCGTGTCCATCCATTCAAACCAGTTGGAAAGCACCAGCCTGTGGCAAAATAATTGGGGGGGGGGCAAATCTTGCTTTTGACTTTTCATCGTGCTTGTCTCAGGCCCTGGAACTGCTTAGGTCAATGATGTTTCGAAAATGCATCTATCTTTGGATGGATAGCTAGTCACAGTTGATCATAGTGTGATGAATGTGGTAATCTTTACTGGTAGATCATAATAAAATTCATAATTGCCTCCATGCCCTCATGTTTTTTTGTGATTGCCTTGATGACCCTAATTTGGAAAGAATTTCCAGGCAAAATTTTCCAAATTATTTCCCCAGATTTTTCCATGGGGAGAAAGTGAACCCCTCCCCCGAAAAAAGCCAATGCCCCCGAAAAGTTAAAGTTGGTTGGATTTTTTTTCCAGTCGATTTCTGTAAACCTTGATTATTACTGCGTTTGCTTGATAACTGCTGATGAAGGGTGGGTCTCTTATTTACTGAGCATCACCAACGCTTGCATCATACCTTTTTTGATCTTGGGCATCCTTGTTCTGCTCCTGGATGGACTCTTGGCGTGTTTTGACAACCTTAGGGGTAGCTACAACAGAGGACTGGATGGTGTGCTGAAAGGAACACAAAACAATTGCGGGGAATGCCGTCAAATCTTGGCTGGGTTTGTCAAGTTTCTCTCTGAGCTCTTCCTTGATTTCAATGGGCTCAGCAGACAGAACTCTTTGCTCTTATCAGATTTGGTACACTTTGCAGGCTCGACGTCATGCTCTTGTTAGAGTCTGTTTGATTCAGCAGGTTGTCCAGGGCTGTTGGATTCTCTTGGATTGAACCGGCAGCAAACTTTGCTGTTGTTAAATTCAACTCGATCCAACTTTTCTGTTGTAGGATTGAAACTTTGCTAGAACCATGTCCCCGCTATTGCCAGTCAGACACTGGGCATTTAAGTGCCCATGATAGCCTTAGAGGTTCAATTGTTACACTCGGCAAAAACCGTAGAAAAGAAAGGGTTTGGTGAGGGAGAGAAAAAAAATCAGATGATGGAAGTAACCCCCCTACCTTGGGCAGATCATCATCGTCATCGTTACTCTTCCTACGTGGGCGCTTGGGCAGTGGTCCGTCCACACGGCCTCCCAGCCTGTCGGTCATGACAAACACAAAGCAGATTAGTCCAACACAGCCCTTTCAAATCTTGGCAAATGAAAACCTGGCACATTTTTAAGGGCGAGGAACGTGTAGGAAGACTGAGCCAGTGGTTTTGTGCTCAGTGGAGAACTCAAGAACCTTCAGAAAGGTTCCAATTTCAATCTTCTCAGTTGGACATGTGCAAGTCTAGTCTTTGGCTTCAAATTGAAACCACTTGGCTTCACTCTCAGGTGCAAATTATTGAAAAAAACACCAATGAAGCTAGAACCAAGACATCAAACTCAACTAATAGAATGTTAGGGATCCTGTCCTTGCCTAATGAAATGTTTTGGAGAATCTTTCCAGCTAATGGCAGGTAAAGTTGGCATGATTTTGTTCAAGAGGGGCTCAAGGTTCCAGTGGTGGAAATTTCCAAGCAAAAAAAGGCCCCGGGGAGTGCACATTTGTGACAAACTGACCTGCTGAATGCACTACCGGTGCTTTGCCTCCTGGTGATGGGTAAGCCCAAACGCTGAAAAGCATCTGCCCTGTGTTCCACATAGAAACATTGATCAGTGAGACCGTACCACATACAAATGACATTCAGGTTTGTTTGCGGATTCTCTTTGGGGGAGGGGTAGGTTGCAACCCCCTGCTCCGTGAAAATGAGTCAAAAGTAGCCAGAGCTACTGTCTGAGTTTCAGTCTGCATTGGAAAGAGTAAACTGCGCTCTTTATTTTGATTTATCGTTCAGCTGGGCCTCCAAATGAAAATGTTGAGAGTTACTACCGGTTAGCATGCAGCAACATTCTTCTGCATTGCATTACCTCCAAACTGACCCTATTGACTTCTGACTCCTTTTCACAAAGCAGGTTACAATTATCATCAATGGGTCCTTGAAACAGATGTTTGACTGGAATTCTTCAAGTGTACCTCCCATTTAGGTTTAATTTGAAATCTTCCTCTTATATGCAAAAGGTATGCCATGGCCTTGTACTAGTGGCGATTTCTACGTTCATGAGCAGGCCAGTGACATCAGCCAAACTTCCTAAAGGATCCAGCTTGTAAATACCCCAGGATACACAAACACATTTTTAGGCAGCACTGGTGCCATTTTCTCTTGCATTAAATTAAAGCCAAATTTGTAAGTAATTGCCATTTTGTGACAATGGCAGACCGCTACGTGCACATGTAAAACCTTGTCTCCTAATCATGCAGGTCCAGCAAATTATGTTTAGCACTGGCAATGCTCCCCCTAGAAACTCCCTGCCCTAATTTACCTCTGCACTCCTCCTCCTCTGCCTCTACCCCTTCCCCGTGGCCCCTGGATCCCCAAAGACACTCTGCGTTGGTCCCTATCTCTCTCCCGTTCTCCAACAAATGGAAACCTGAGCAAAGGACAATATTGTTAAAAAAAAGAAAAAAGCTGTGAGGAAACTACGAAGCCTATAGCTCAGCCATTTATTCATTTATTGCTGAAGTCTGGAAAGAATGCAGTGCCATGTGCTTGGAATCTGTAGGAAATGTGAGATAACTCTGACCAAGTTTGCTTGCAATGACATGTCAGTTGTACATAATTATGTAGTGAAAAATATACCCAGTCTCGCCACAAGTCTCGCCGTTCAGCTTGAGCAGTGGAGTTGAGCTCTTTCTCAATTGGCCTGCACCACTCATTGACCTATATCATGATGCCTCAAACTTTGCTTCCCATCTTCAAACTATCTCCACTCCAAAGGTGTGAATTAGTAAGAGATGGCAGGGGTCAACATTAAGCAGGCGCACTAGCGCTTTTGCGTCTGACAATCCATGATTAGAGCCTGTTAACCCGTAATAAAGCAAGAGGTCGGGTGCTGAAATTAGCACCAGGCCATTCCTGATCCTCTATGACGAGATGACACACTTTATTCCATAGAAATCATCAAAATATTTACCATGGTGAGGGTAGGTCCGACAACCTTTCCTCACGTTAAAATGCCCGTTTTTATATATTTTCCTACATCTTATTTTCCTACATTTGCAATCTCTGAAAAGAAACTTCTGTTATTTTAACAAGATCCCTTCACGTTTCCCTATCACTGCGGTGAAAACACATGTGCAAAGCTCAATCCATTAAAGCAAAGCTGCACTGGTTCCATCTGCGCCTCACCCATGCCAAAGAACGTGTGATGGAATTGTGCCAACCAGTCTATATGTCCTGGTCGATTCGCCAACATAAGCCGTACATATACGCAACCCTACAGCTGCAGGTCAAAAAAACATCGATGTTACAAGAGGATTTCTGCACAGAACTTGGTCTCCTGTCTATGTATGTTTTCTCTGTGTTCAAAAGTTTAATTTGAGGTGATTTTGCTTGTACTGTAAGCGAGCATGTTTCCACAAAATATCCTGCTATCCCGCGATACACAGACATCATTGGCCAGTTTGCCGTCGTGATTACCTGACTAGCATTGTGTGAATTGTCCATAATTGTTGTAAATTATTTACTGCAGAAATTTTTACAAGGATTAAGACGGGTTTTTATCACTTTTTGAGACAATGTTTTGAAGCTCTCATCTCCATTTATGCCATTCAATCAGCACTGACAAATTGACCCCCAAAAATTTCCGACCTACTGACCATGTACTTGAGAGGCATGTAATCGAGCAGAATTTTTTTGCCTATGACTTTACCTAAAATAGCTCCCACATTCAGTGAAACAGCTCCCAAAAACCCCTGAAATTTGAAAGGCCAGGACTGTTTTTAGCTTCTGGGCAAAAAAGCTTAAAATCAACCCCTGAGATGGTGATCCTTGCTGGCAGCTGGATCAACAGATTTTGTACAGCAGGCATCAACCAACGTGACCAATACTAGTATAGCACAAGTGCTTCATCTTGCAGATCCACCAATCACACCCAATCGACATCATTGAAGTTTTTTCAGGATGGTGGATGGATTTCAGACTCAACTGCTGAACTTTACTTTAGTTTCTCAGCATGGAAGAAGGAGGCCCCTCTCAGTAAGGAAGCTTTAAAAATAAAAGGGTTCATACGATGAATGGACACTCTCTCTTCAATAACTTTACACTCTTTTTCAACGTATGAAAACTATTTGAAATGTTGTTAGTGTATTACAAAAGTGCCTTTTTCCCCACTGAATCCTAAGGTGGGCACATTGGACAGTTTAGCCCACGTGATGTGCGTGCAATTACGTGAGGCGCGGTCTTCAGGTCTTGTAATGTAATGAAGACTGGCGTCCAACATAGGCTAGTCAGCCTCGTCATGCAAGTAGTACAGGCCTACGACCGTGGCGACCAACAACTGAATCACCTGGGTTGCCAAATATTTTCACACATGTAAGTCAAGTACAAAATACACAATTGATTTTGTTTCTAAATGTAACAGCTTATACCTCCTTTCCCCCGGCTCTCTTCCTGTAAGTTTACGTATGTTTTCATCGACGCTTTGTAGATTTTCTTTCGCTTTGTCAAGCTTCTCCTGTAGCAACGCAGCCACGTTCGCCATGATTTTCTTTCTTTAGCAGGTTTAAAGTCGGTGCACTCAATTCATTGACGCCCTATAGACAGATATTAAACACGCTACGTGTCGTAAATGACGTTGGGGAATATGACCTCAGCGAAATATGGAGAGCCTAACGTAACGCAAAGTTATTCTGTGTTATTCGCATAATGATAATAACATCTAATTGTCGTAACTGAACAATAGACCTTTCAAAATTCTCTAACAGAACGGACATCAATGCCGAAGTGATATGAGGCTTCATGTTATGACACAGACCACTGACAAACGAATGTATTTTGTCTTGAGACGTCATTTCTTGTATAAATCGCTTTCACTGCGGAAAGCGACATCTCAATTTTTGTTTAGAAAATGACAAAAAGGGGCCAACATTTTAACACCCATGCAAATTGAAAAAACGAAGAATAAAAAAACGCTAGGTGAACCTGCAGGACATAACGTCAATGAAAATCGTTGGAACACCATCCAGCTTTCAGGGCTAATGGTTCTGACTTCGGCAATGGCGTAGCCACGGGGGGGGGGGGGCTGGAGGGCACATCCCCCCTCCCGCCAAATTCCCGGTCCCCCAGGTGCCCCCCACTGAAAAAAAGGATGAATGGCTACTGAACCAGGCTAACAAAAAACTTGCCCCCCAAAAACCACACCACTTAAAGCTGGTGCCCCCACAAGATGCTGGTGTCCCCTTTGTGCCCCTCTCAAGTGAAATCCTACTGGACTTCGGCGCATTAAGTTTGAATTTTCCGATGCTACGAACAACTTCAAGGATCTGGAGTTATTCAACATACTGATGAGGCCTACGAGACTCCAATGCATAGAATTCATGGGGGTAGGGACACCTTCCCGCCTCCGGAATAAGGTGGAAAAGAAGAAAAGGGAACTTGAAAGGGGGTGAAAATCACTCTATTGTGTGAAAATACCCTGGCAATGAGGATGTTGGTCAGCAATGACCCCTTCCACTAATCATGGGTTAAATGGGCGTAAAACCCGGGGGTGGGGTATATATCCCCCACACTTTTGGGGGGGTTGTGGGCCATTGAATCACCCCCACCCACTTTTTTATAATGAGCAAAAAATTGAAGTGGCTCGTGAAGAAGTTTTGGGATTTCCCAACAACTACAATGTTTGCAATATCACTAAAAGAGGAAAGTAAATTTAAAAAAACGTAAATGTACCATTCTGATGGAAGATTCAATTTGTTACACATTACAAATGTACGTCTTTATCATGAACATCGCCCCTATATAGTATATATGATGCCCCTCCTTTTCGAATTTCCATGCCCCCCTTTCCCCACCCCCACCCCCATTTCCAACACAGATTTACACCATTGATGAGTTGTCATGCAGTTTGCTGCTGATGAGTTCTTTAAACCCCACCCCTACCCTCCATCGGAAACGGTGCAAGCTTTGCCCTCGTACTTTCTAGCGACACTCGCGCATAAGAAAACTCCTCTTTATGTTAATAGCCTTCGTGAAAATAATTAAAGATTAACATACCGGGTTTAAGTTCAAAATTTGTATCAAAGGTTTTAAATTTGTTGGAGGGTGGCAACTGTGCTAGTGGTGCAGATAGTTTTTGTTTCGTCCCCCCCCCCGAAAAAATCCGATGACGCCCATGCTCCTTTGTATCGAATATTTCGAAATGGGAAAGCTATTTTCAAACGTTCAAAGGTGACATATCCTACGTTTTACAACAAAAAATCTGATGATTGCAGCAGTATAGACCAAAGAGAAAAATGGAACTCGTTTTCCCATTTGTCATCCCACTTATGGCTCTACGTAAAATTTTTAAATAGCAATGCGTAATTTTAGGCGTTCCATACTCTTATATTGCATTTTGCCAATCGTCAAGCCATCGGCCCTATACGAAATCAGTTCAGGAGGGCCAAATACTTTTCATTTCAAGCATTTTTTACGCCAAATGAAAATGGCAGATGACGTCTTATTTGAATTTCTACATATGGAAATCGTCTCCTACGTGGAGCAGTCGGCAAGGAAAGACGAAAAAGTAAGTTCGTTCTCTGCAGTGCTCAACTCACTCTTTAGTCATGTTAGTCATTGGTTTGCATCCATTTCGTGAAAAAAAATTGGGTCTTGAATTTTTTCAGCCAACGTGGAAAGAATTCCAGGTTGACCTATAGAGTTGAAGTGATGTCCAGATGCGGAACTCTGCCCCGTGGAGACTTCGACTGAAATATTAATTTCACAGACTACTGTCATGAGTGTACGTTTTAATTGCCCCAGATTTAAGATTAAAAAATACCGATTCTATTATGATTTATTCATTGTCTAAGCCTCTTTTCCTTCCTCCATCATGGACCGAGTAACAACGGGATCAGGTCAACTCGGACCCATTCCAACTCGGACCCATGCCAACTTGGACCCAATACTGACTCGGACCCAAGACATCTATCATCATCTCACGACCAATTTTGTATGAATTAGTATTTTCTGTGCCTTTTCTGTAGTCTGTACAAAGTCAGTGCATGCGTCCAAACTGCCATATCTGGAAGTGTCACTCAAAAATTGGTCAGACAAGAATGTGACATATTTATCCCACTTACTGCCATTTATCTACCTCCTGCTCCCCCATCAGGATCGTCTGGTAGCCAAGCTGGAGCAGATGGGCTACAGAGTTGGCCAGAGTGTGGCTGAACGCTTCACCAAGGACACCCCTAGATTCTCCAGTGAATTGGACATTATCAAATTCATCTGCAAAGACTTCTGGTCCAGTGTCTACAAGAAACAGATTGACAATCTAAGGACAAATCACCAGGTACAATTGGAAGAGAAATATGGATAATTCCAACATTAAAGATGCTACGTTTGTATGCAACTTCCAAGTTTCAATTGATAGACAAATTAACTTGTGGTGGAAAAAAAAAATTATTTGCTTTTATACTCGTTGTAGCCTATATTCAAGTGTTAAACATATTAAAGAAACTTTGTCTTAGCTTCACTGATTAATTAGCCAGAAGCATGAGAAATGAATGTTACACATTATGACATGGCTTTTTGACCTTCGGCACATTTAAGTAGAACTCGGTGAAGGTGCTTCCTTCAGCTTTTTATACAACTGTGTTGCAGTTGGTCTGATTCCATTCTATCTAGGCATGTATTGAAAGTTAGAAAAACACTGACCCTGTATAGTCCAGTTTTGTTAAATAAATTTGTTACAGACGTTACATTTTGTGTTACGGATGATATGTGATTTTGTGTTACATGTACATGTATGGAATATACATGTAAAGAAAACAAATTTTGAGAGTTCTTTTGCCATGATACCCCCTCGGATTCATTAAAATGAGGTGTACCCCTAACAAGCAAAGTGGAGAAAAAATTGTAAACCTACTTTGAAAGTTTGGCAGTCATGTCACAATTAGTGTGGAATTGTCCATAGGGCCAATGTCTTTTGTCTCAAGAGCCAAAACTCTCAGAAAAGTAATGAAGAATGTTCAACGTATCTAACGTTCTATCGAAATTCTCAAGTCCTTTCCTTTGGTTCCTGAAGCAACCAACATGACATCAGTTCTGAAGATATCTGGCTTATATTCACACTATGCAAATGTTGCCAGTGAAGCAACTGAGGTCACCAATGATATGTTGGATTCATTTTCATTGAACAAGTTGCATTCCCACTTTTGTTTGCGTCAAAATCCTCAGGGTGTCTATGTTCTTCAAGACAACAAATTTAGATTTCTTGTCCAACTGTCAGCCAGCAAGCAGTATTTGGAAGTGGCACCAAAGGTGAGGAGCACCCTTCGTTATTCAGTTTTGTTAAACAGTAAGGTAAACCTCGAGCTTCTGAAGCCTTCATATTCGTCAGTCTGTGGCATTCATTAAAGTCACTCACTTTGGGTTGTAGAATTGTCTATAAAAGCAGGATTGTAGGCTGTTGAAAAGTTCAGTGGTACCAAGAAAGTTTCAGTATAAGTTTGAACACCAAGTTGAAAGTAGGCCTGCAAGTACATATACATGTCTTGTTCAGTTACTTGATCAATTGATCAGGGTATCTATTATTTGGTCACAGTTTCTTTTCTATTAATCAAAAATTACCTTGTGAATTTAGACTCCCTTTTTGAAGGCACAAGAGAATTACCTGAAATTCCCAGTTCTAACATCTGAACCATTCTAAATCCCCTCCCTTGAAATTTGAAGGAAGAACACAAAGAAGGGCTGTTGTTGAATGGTGCAAGTGAATATTATAAATTATAAAGATGCTTTTTAATTAAGTAAAAAAAAAAAACATTATGCTCACTAATAATTTGTTCCGGCAGATTAAGCCATTCATTTAATGGAACTAGTAATCTAAAAGTGAATGATTAATTGATCAGATAAAATAATCGACCAGTTTCTGGCTGTGTTGGAAATCAAGAAGTTTAAAGATGACCAGTAGTTTCGGTAAAAGACATTGATTCGGATTTGTCAATTTGCAATTATTCACAGTATCTAGCATTCACATGTGGCCTTGTCCGTGGAGCTCTTGCCAGTTTGGGGATGAAGTGCATCGTGACCGCCGAAGTTAGTAATATGCCAGCATGTGAGTACCTCCTTCCACGTCTCAATGGTTTTACAGTGACATATCCGGGATCCTTCCAAATTGGCATGCAGGAGTTTGGAGGATTGAGGAATGATAGTACCTTACTTGTATCGCTCTCCTTGAGACTTGATGAGAGTTACGGTTCAGGAGAATGTGCCACCGATTTGCCTGCACAGTGGAGGACTTCTTATCGGGGGGCTCAGGGTCTTTGCATGGGAGTTTGGGTCAGTATCAGTTATGTGTGGTGCTTTTCTTTTAATGTATTGAATTTTTCCATTTATACCTCCCATTGAAAACTGACTGACAAGCACAGAAGGAAGCCTTGTGCTCATTAGAATTTTCTATTGCTGTTTTGTATGTATTGTTGCATATCTCGGCTAGCTTTCTGGCCCGGCTGATTTTGTGTATCTTGTGTCTCATTTTTGTGTGTAGCCTTGGGAATCAGCTTACTGCCAACAAATTGTAGGACATGTGCAATTATTTCGTATTCACAATGCACATATTTCACAGTATAAAAACACTTGAATAAATATATTCCATTCACTTGACTGGCACAGTCTCCAAGGTACCTGGAGCAGTGTACAGGTACCATGTTTTATTTCTCTCACACTCATTGAAAAGATACCCACCCTACCCTGCATGTATCTTTGCCAAACGAGGAGTTTGCTTCTAAAAAGTTCTCTTGAAAATATCATTTGTTTCCATATATGTCAAGCTCTCTACCGCTGTTGGTTACTCATTTTCATTTCTTGTTGCAGGTAAATTTCAAATCATGATCCAGAGATCGTAGCTGTTCCAAAAGAGCAACAGCTCGCTGGCCTGGCTGTCATGACTGTGAAAGAGTGCAGGCACACAGTGTGCACTTCATATGGTCTCAGGAGTAGTCCACACTGCGTCAGGTACTGTTCCTGAATGGAGTAAGGTGGCCTTCCATCATTTGGAGCCCAAGCTATTAGACGGCTGGAAAAATTACAAGCAACTCCCAAAATTAACTACACAGCATCAAAGTGTGTTGTTGGTGTTGTGTTTCCAAGACTTGCCACTTTGATGCACTCCTGAGGAGACTGAGGCTGTGTCCAAAATGGGCTTCCAGAGCTACGGCTAGGTCTATTGTCTGCGCGTCTCCATTTAATTCCAATGGAGCGAAGACCTAGACCTAGCTCTAGACAAGAGATTCGGATGCAGCCTGATTTGCAGCAGATGAAATCTTTCATTGGAAGCTCATATAGGTACCCCGGCTTTACCTCTTTGGGGGAGGGGATTTTTCTCCCACTTTGTGAACACTGTCATACAGAGTCAAAATTGAAAACTTTCAGTGCTAAAAAGTGTCGTGTATTTGTCACTTTAATGTGGAAGCAGGGCCCCTGAGTTTGAACCCCAAATCCCATCCCGATCTAGCTTTACTTTTTTTTATAATGCACTGTTGTGCTTTACTTTGCTCAATGAGCAAACAAATGACCAGCATAAACAAGGCTTGTCAGATACGTTTAGGTTTAGGGATATATGTTTAACCACACGGGTTGCTTGTAGGTATTTGCAGGCAGTTCAAGAAGAGCTAGGACTTGGAGTAACAAACTAATTTGCTTACGTGGGCAGGTTACAGTTTATTGGTTTCATTGTTAGATGCCATTGAACAGTTTCCTAAGCAAAGTATGCAACATGTAAAACTAACTGTGCAGTTCTTAAGTATGCATATACATGTACGTGTCTCTTGTTTCAGCCAGCATGGAGATATGTACTGTTTTCTCAATACTGTAGTTTGCAAGAAGCACCATTGCTCAGTGAGCATTGTTTTTGCTGTTCTATCTTGCCTGGGGAAGTAAATAATTGCCCCCGCAGACTGTGCTCTTAAACAGCACTTATGGAATTGGACACAGCCAAGAGAATTGAATCTTTGATGTACACGGTTGCTGGTAATGTCAGCAGTGATCATGCGAGAAAAATCTACTTTGATGTCCATATCTACTTTTTAAGACATTGGGTCTTCAAAGAGAGTAACACATAATAAGCCATATGAGCATTTATGTACAATGTACACACGAGCGATAAATTAAGAATACATGTAGCACAGTACATAGCCGTTGTACATAAATTCATTGTAAATATGTATAAAATATAAATTCATTGTCATTGTTGATTTATAAAGAAACTTTCGCTGGCTCTTAACTCTTAACTTTTGCGTAACATAATTTGCAACCCAACCAAAGCATACAAAGGCTTCTGGCAGTCAGTTCTGATCCATGTTTTGAACAGGCGTTGAGAAATTGTTTGGACTTCTTGGAACCAGACCAAGATGGCGTCACAAGCTGCAACATTCCGTTTATTAGTGTAGCCATGTGAAATCATGTACTGGTGACATTATTTATTGAAATGCAAAATTGTGAATGAATAACCGTTCTTTGAAGTGTTGTCCTTTTTATGTCATGAAGCAGTTGAGATTTAAGAAAGGTGAATACTGAATTGCCAGTACATTGAGAAGGGAGTGAAAATATCTGAAAGTTAGGGTGTCAGCAATTTGGAACTCCCCAAAAGGAAAAAAAATCCCATACCGGAAAAGAGCTGACAGTTCATTATTAGATATCTCCCACAGATTGGCATTCCATTAATTTTCCATCCAAAGAATTACTTTTCGCTTTATTAAACGCTTAAAGAATATTGTGGACTCTCGATATAAGAACACCGTGTTTACAAAATACTGTTGGAAAGAGCATTTTCTGAGAACCCAAATTTTTGGAATGTTGGTGTTTTCTTTCTGTGTCCTTTCCTTTTGTAACATTGTAATGGTTATAATAGTTTGTCTGGTCCCGATAACCTCGTTATAAAGAGAGTTGACTGTATTAAGAAACTACTCGGGCTACTATAGTTATTTTGGTGTACAGGTATTTCAAAAAAGTGGTAATCTGGTCTATAAGATCTTTTGCCAGAGGTTTAAGGAGTCTGATATCGATGGAAATCGCCTTGAAACCAGAAAATATCAGCAACAAAGTTGTAATCCCAATTTATCCTCCATCAAAGCATATTTCTTGTAACGGACTTCTGTCATTATCGGACACGTTGACACCACACATTCAAAAGCTCCTCCTTAATGGATGTACATAGCAGATGTGGCCTGTCTGAAACGAAAATGTTTAAAAGCCCTTATTTACTTAATACATGTATACTGTGAGTTAACCTCATGTTAGAATTGCGCGGTATGAAAAGCTCATGCCACTCGTCTTGCTGTGCCCCAGTTTCAGATGTTATGCGTGGCGATAACATGATGGCCTTTTTCGTATTCTACTGGCAAGAATCCAACAACAAAGTACATGTACAAAATAATGTTTACGCCTTGTAAAAAAGTAATGGAACTCTGGACAATTTCTTTTTTAAGATGTTTAAAATGTAGGCAGGTACATTTCGGTATCTGTTAACTGTTGAAATTACTACTATGTGTCAATGAAACTTTCGGATTTCCTTTGTATACATGTGCATGGAAGATATGAACTGCTTCAAAACAGATACATGTACATGTAAGTGGTAGTTTGGTGTGAGATGGCAAGCCGAAAATGCAGTACAAAAATGTGAAACGCAAAGATGTGGATGTCAGTGAAAACGTTTACCGTGATCACCGAGAGCGGTCCGAAGAAGCCCGCAAACTCCAGGGAGGCTGTCCGCCGTCCATTCGCGAGTTGGCTGGTGAAGACTCCTAGGCCTGTGTTGCGACCTCAGTAGGTGACTATGACAGTGGTGTTAAGATGCACAGTTCTTCATCAAGGTGCCTACCTGCCTTCGGTAGATCTGAAAGAGAACAGAAGGGGCGCGCTCGCAATATGCACTGGGTATGGCAGCGCGCGCTTACATTTTCCTAGGCGCCGCGTGTGACTACATGCGAAACAAGACTATCAACAGGACAGCAACAATATGGTCAACAACAAGCAATTAACTTGCACAAGACCTGTTGTTCCTTCCGTGTATGGGTTGCGAACTCCCCAGCACTCCAAGGCGCCGATGTTGAAGCGCGCCCGCCCCGACGTCTCTCCGATGTCGCCGATGTGTATAGCCGTCACGGGCAACTGGGCCTCGTCTTGCAGGTACCCCTCGTCGAAGCGTAGCATGTTCTCCACTTTCCGGTCACAGTTGCATCTTCCTCCTCCGACACAAGCTGTTGGGGAAAAGAAAGGGAAACTCTTAACTCTAACATAAACTGGCAAGGCGGCTCAAAAACGCTTTGCTGTCAAGCGAGTATTCGTTGTTTTTTCTCGACAGCAGGAGACATTTGTACGCCACTTGCAACGGGGCTCTGTCTTACAGTGTTCACAACAGACAATGAGCATTTATAATGACTTTTTAAAAACTTTGTAAGTCGTTTTAGTTGTCGAACAACTTGACTACATCAGCTTACAATGTTAACACAATCGTAACATCATCAAATTGTGATATTTGTTGTGATAGCATCATAGAAGACGACGTAAAAAAAGGAAGTCTTGTTTGTTACACTGAAATGGTCGACCTGAGTCTCTTTGCAAGGGGGAACGGTAAAAGACAATGGGAATCACATGTATTTCACAATGACGCAAAATAAAGTAGACTGTCCTTTCCCAAAGGGAAGGTTGAGTACTAAACCTTTACGTAACATGCGTACCATTGTTAATGCTGCACTTGCACCCTTTCCAGTCACTTGGCGCCCCGCCCCAGTTGGGCATTTTTTCATTGTCACGCGACGTCAACCACGTGACCTGTTGGTCCCCTCTCCAAATGGCCGCCAGCCGGCATTTATACCAGATGTGCTGACGGCAAATCGTGGATGTATTGATCAAGGCAACCACATGCTGACAGAAGAATAAATCATGTGTTTTAGGATATACCGTCATCAAAAGTCAGGAAATGTATGATGTAGGCCTAATATAAATTCAAAAGGTTTAACTTTTCCATAATAACCAAAATAAAACAGTATATGCCCAAAAAATTAAGTTTTCTTGATTTGCAAAACAATTTTCGTCCATGAAGTGATGCAACCCGTCGTCTTCAACACTGTAAAACGCTGAGCAAATTGTTTGCCTATCGCAGGATATACCCGTGTGAATCGCTTAACTGAATGTTGGGCAAATAGATTACCCAACCGCGATGATTCGTGTCATTTGACTTCATTTTCCCAGTGGTTCATTGCACAACCACTTTTTACCCAGTATGTTTATTTTCTTACTCAACAGTAAAGCGATTCACCCCATACCAGTAGAAAGAGCGCCTTGGAATTAACTGTCTAAACGGTTCCCTATGCGGATGTGTTTAGTGCAGATCTGATGAGACGGTTCCCTGTACGAACGTGTTTAGTGCAGATCTGATAAGGTGGTTCCCTATACGAACGCGTTTAGTGCAGATCTGATAAGGTAGTTCCCTATATACGGACGTGTTTAATGCAGATCTGATGAGACAGTTCCCTATATACGGACATGTTTAGTGCAGATCTGATGAGGTAGTTCCCTATATACGGACATGTTTAGTGCAGATCTGATGAGGTAGTTCCCTATATACGGACATGTTTAGTGCAGATCTGAATAGACGGTTCCCTATATACGGACGTGTTTAGTGCAAATGGGATGAGACAGTTCCCTATATACGGACGTGTTTAGTGCAAATCTGATGAGACGGTTCCCTATATACGGACGTGTTTAGTGCAAATCTGATGAGACGGTTCCCTATATACGGACGTGTTTAGTGCAAATCTGACGAGAATCCATAAGGCCTTACTGATATTGACGGAGCGTCATATGACATTTTCCTGCTGTATGCCCCGGGAGCCTCGTAATCTCTTCCGTCAGATCCAGAGACAAAGATGTTATCATGATCATCTTCGTGATGTATAATAGTAACAGCTTTGGAATTCACAAATGAAACAATGGAACTGTTATTTTTCATTTATACGTGGATATGTACTTCATTTATTATTGCAACGAAGCTACATCCTTGAACTGACATCCCTCCCGATGTTCTGTTCATTTGGTGATTCCTTCGGTTGCTTTCCTATTTTAGAAAAATTCCCAAAATGGTTACTTAAAAAGGTATTTTCTGTCCATTTTCCTTCTGTTTCAAGAAGTATACGGTTGGCCAGCGGTCCAGGAGGAGCTGATGAAAACTAGGCCTACATGAGTTTCAGGCAGTCACATGATATGAACCCTCCCCCCCCCATCATAATGCTTTGCGCCTGTCACCACCTCTATACAGGTGTTTTTGCTTGTTGGTGTTATTAAAGGGGGCCTTCGTTGATTATTTGTTGGGTTGGTTGTTGCTTTGTTTTGTTTTGTTCATTTTAGGTGTTTTTTTTCTTGTTAGTTTTTCCCATGGCGCACGGTATGGACGACGAAAAGTGGCCATCTGCTTTTCTGCTATCAGAAAAGCAGATTTTACGTCTTTGTAACATGTCATGTCTAACATGTTTTCTACTTGTCTGCTACCTCAAAAGCGGATTGATCATTTTATTGTAATGCATTTTTCCATTTTTCTACTTTTCTGCTACTACAAACGTAGTTTTACTTTTCCTCTTTTTGATGGCGGCCGAAATGTCTGCTTTTTACCTGTCAAACAAGCAGGAAAGAGGATTGAACGTTTTGACGACAACCGTGAATTCAACTTTTCCGCTGTTGTGATACCGGAAAAGCAAATTTTACATAGGGGGCCGAAAAGTGGCCATCTGCTCAGTGAATGGGGTCATGAACCGGTAGGTTACGACCATTTCCGTTCTGGGGGAGTGAATACGTATACAAACCAATTCTTAACTATGCTTTCTGGGGACCAATCCCATACGGCAGTGTCAGTGTCCCTGTGAGGCCAAGAAAACAGCGTCTCAAAGGAAATACAGTTTTACAACTACCATCCAATAGACACACAAGCTTGCTTGGGCCAGGGAAAACATGTGAATCTTTCATCATAAAAGATAGGGTGGACTGTAATTATTGGTTTATACGTCTTCAATATCCAAGAAAAGAAATGGTCATAATCTGAGGTTCACGACCCCGTTCACGGCCCTTGGAAGGCAGAAAAGCAGAAGGCCACTTTTTGGCCGCCTATCTAAATTGCTCCTCTGGTATGAAAAATTCACGATTGTTATCAAAACGTTCGATCCTCGTTTCTGCCTGCTCGAAAGGAGAAAAGCAAATGGCTGCTTTTCGGCCACCAGTAGATGAAGAAACAGTAAAATCTGCTTTTCTTGAAGCAGAAAAGTAGAAAAATAGAAAAATGTATAACCAAACAATGTTTGTTCTGCTTTTTGGGGTAGTAGAAAAGTCGAAATTGCATGTTACCAGAACATAAAATCTGCTTTTCTGCCATTCTGATAGCAGAAAAGCAGATGGCCACTTTTCGTCCTCCGTACGGACGGTCCGTTTTTAAGGGGCTGTCATGTGCCAACATATTTGCATACCACACCGTCGAAGGCCTGGACCTACTTACCCTTGTCGTCACTGAATGTACACCACACCATGAAGTGTGAAAGCGGGCCATCCCCATCGGGGTCGATTCGGTAGTAGTCGTTCGTTCGTCGTCCGTCCAGACGTAGCTCCTCGCAGTTTCTGAATAAACCTGTGAAATCAGCGTCGAACAAGACTCATGGGAATTGGTAAATACTGAACAACAAAGCATGCATGCCTGCTAAAAATAGCTCTTTTTTACATGTGACAGTAAAGTTTGACGAAATTAAACAAACTTGTCACTAGACTGTCCTTCAGACGACCAGTTTGTTTCTGAATGACAAGGTTCAATATAAGCGAGACGAAATCGAGCGCTCGTCGCCGTGAATGCGTAGTCATGGCTGAAATTCGATTGAGTAAGAGTTGAGATTGTGTGAAAGACCAAATTAAACATTGGAAATGGGTCGTTCTTTAAATTTGGGGCCCAGTTTTCTCGCCCCTGTTAAGTTTGGTGTATGATTATTTAATGTTATTTAAGAACTAATTTCCAAGATCGAATAAGCACTGCAAATGACCTGCTGAACAAAAAGAAATGTGTGAAATTGATTTCAGTGAAAAATCCCTTGTCAGAGTATACATGTAACAAGGACGGAAAATGTCGCACATTGGATAGAATGGTCTAAGTGGATTTTGCCAGCTGAATTCAGATATGCAAATCTGTGAATTTGAATGGCAAATGTTTTAAGATAGCGAGAAAAACAAAACAGTATTTTTCCGAGTGTGGATACTTCGTTTTCATTCCATTTAAAATACCATTGGCAGTTATTAGGTCCTGTGCCATCCAAAAACCAAAATGTCCTGTCGCGTGCCGTCGTCAGTTTGAAACTAAGAACTAAATTAATTGGTTCATGGCCCCGTAAGCGGAAGCAAGATCATGACAGGATCATAATACTTGGTATAATGGCAACTTGTTTGCAGAACATGCTTGGTTTCCCCTTTAAGGAATTAATGTCTACGAAATTGGACAAATATATACTAGAGTGCCGTGTGCGGATGATATTTTTTGTTGAGCTATCCTATGAAGTGATATTTCTGTAGGCCCTATATCCCGTCAGCCGAAGACAAATTCAATACAAAATATGTAAATTTGGGACCCTATTTGCTCGTTTCGTCTCGTTGTTGTTGACGGATCGGAATTTTCCCACGCATGCCCGCTGACTCTTCGGTCTATATCTGCATCAAGACGGATTTACTAACGTGCCAAGCCTGATTAATGGCGGACTTACCGTACACTGGCGATATGGTCAGAAGATGCAAGAAAAGGAAAACCTTGAAAGTGAATTCTGCGTCGGTACCCATTTCCAAATCAAACACCGTCATGAGCTATCGACTGTACATTTTATGTGTTGTTGATTCGCAGTTCGACACGAGGAACAAGATTAATGTACACAGGCCCAACTGACACGCTGTCGCTCAGCTCGGCTCACTTATCTCCTTTCTTCCGTAGCGGCTAGTCCGTTCCTTCTTAGAAGATTGTAATAAGCCACTCGGACATTTTATTACAAAATCGTTTCATTCATCATCCTCAACTCCACTGACAGACATCAAACACCTTTCTAAGTAAATCGTTCAATTATCTCATCAACATTATCTTTTCGACACAGCCGTTTAATTGGATTTTTGAAAGACGAGAGGAGCGAGACACTTGAGAGCAGAATGACACACACGATGATGGAAAAACGGAATGTTGACCTCGTGCATATTGCATTCACGCTCGACCCGAATCAAAAGCCATTCATTGTTCATGCGCTCATTGCACTGTTACGGCGAGTACCACTTTACTTACTGGTCGATTCCAGCACGGTATAATGGAATTGGAAGGGCTTCATGGACAGTGCGTTCGATAAAGTACTTCAGCCGGAGTGATGTTTTTATCATTTTATCAACCAAGACTAAAACCCTCTGGAAAGTTACTAAGTAGGTAACATGACTTTAAAATGTTATAAAAAGTACAGAGAATTGACTATTGAGGAGAGATGCACGAGAAACCCACGTAAGTGTTAACATGGACTTTGAGTGATTTTAGGGCTCGTGCACTCGGCTTTGGCGTTGACCTAGTGTCTTTTCAGATCACGTTAATGATCAGCGTGTATTGGGGTAGTGTCACGATACCCTAATTGTCACTTAGTTAAAGTACAACCACGACCACTAACAAAATAATTATGCTACATTTTCACATCGCCTTGAAGTTCTGTTACCACATACGCCATCTTCGTGACATTGATGAGCTGGAAAACAACCTGGAAATTCTAACGGTCTTTGCTCAGTTCTTTAATGTTGTGGAATTGTCCAACTGCTGACTTTTAAATTAAGCTCATTTATTGTGGCAGTTTGTTTCTGATGACAAATTTGTCGAAACAACTGTTGTTGTTTTTTTTACGGACGACGACTCTGATGGTTCTGCAAGAGTTTACCGGTGGCCTTCATTGGCACAAGATTGGCACGTTCCTGCTAATAGCTTCTGTGTGATGATGCGTTCGATTAGCTTCCCTGAATACACCAGTGTTACACCTACGGTTACACGAATCTGAGGAAAAAGGTCAAGTCCCCGCCACGGTGCCATCATGTCCATGCACAAACAGTCCATCCGTGACGTCATTACACTCGCGCAGCCTCCAGAGACCTGCTCGCCAACCGGGGTAGTGGTGGCTGACACCAGGGCAGGCACGAAGATCACGTGATGGCTAAACGAACGCACCCATAAAAACTAACTAAAGGCCTGTTCCTACTTTGTGAACATTAACGAGAATTTGTGAGGGCAGGGTCCGAAAGCTGAGCACATTTTAACTTCAGCGAATTTCGCTGCAAATCTTTCTTGACGTCAAATTCGCTTCGTTTTCACGTTTGCCCAACGCAGTACGAACCAGCCGTTAAGGGAGTAATAATATGGGCGATTCACATGTGCTCCTCGAAGAGTTTGCAACGCGTTGGCCAATCGCGACATCGGATGTAGACTCGATGTAGACTCGATGCAGTTCTGAAAGGGTCGACAAATTTCGCGCATTGTGATTGGCCAACTCGTTGCAAACTCTTTGAGGCACACTATTGCGAATCGCCCGTATTGCTTCGTCCAATATCTGGCACAGCGAAGGTTGGCAGAGATAGTTGTCATCGAAAAGGGGTCAAAATGCCATTTAAATACCTCCTGTTTTATAACATTTCTACTCCAGCATAAAGGCTGGTTGATTACCACTGGCAATGTTGAAGCGAAGCGAGTTTGACATCAAGAAAGATTTGCAGCAAACTTTCGCTTGAGTTGAAATAATCATGTGCAAGTTTTGCAAATTCGCAAATATTTGAACTGGCCTATACTCGTCGGACCTACCCGGTACGCCTCGGCAGCGAAGAGGCCCGACCGAGACCTGCGCACGTTCATCTGGGCTGCCAACGTCTCCTACCCGGACCTCCGTCACGGGTAACTTGGACATGTCAGTCAGCGGTCCCTCGTCCCACCTCCACGTTGGTCTGTACCCCGGATTGTCGTTGTCGCAATTGCACTTCAACCCATTCTCACAACCTGTAGGGCGACACAAATTTTGTTTGCCAAATCTTGCCATGTATTATACGGAATCTGGTTAGTTCTAAACGGACATGAAATTCCGAATTGGACAACATGAAAAAAATAATTATTGCCAAGCGACTTTGCTGATTGACTGTGGGTCCTTTTGGTTTGCATAATATGCTGACTTGCCTGATAATGTCTCGGCAAGCATGTCACCGTTTCGCTTCTCCAAAGTTAAATTACAATAGAAACAATCTGCCATTATGACCCGTGCCCAACGTGCATGCCAGTCGAAATGAAGCACTCACCGTTGTTCACATAACATCCGCATCCTTCAAATCTACTCGGCGCCCCACCCCAGTTGGACATTTTCTCCCTGTCACGTGACACCCACCACGTCATCTGAGTCCCCAGTTCGTTCCAGAGTTCGGTTCTCCTGCACTTGAACGACAGCATTTGAGAGCACTGATCGGACGCGTTCGTCAGTGCCACAATTTGGGGAAGGGAGGCTGAAGTGTAGTTGAGGATTTTCCGGTAGGCGCCCGGGTCCTCATAGTTGGGAGTGTCACCTCCGCCACCTGTCAGGCTCACTTCAAAGCCCATGACGTCTTCGTCGTGGTGCACAACAGTAGAACCTATCACCAGCACGCAAATGATAAACTGCTCAAAACAAATAACCTGCTTTTATTAAGAGGTTTGTGATTCGTATTTTTCTATGCTTGTTATTACTGACAAGCTGTAAACTTTCAAGAGACCGCAAACTGCGGGTAATTCAAATTTGATTTTCTCGGCTGATGAAATTGGAGTGTGTTTTTCACCGGCAGACAATAACGTAGCCGGTTTTGGACAAAATAACACAGGTGTTGGTAAAAATGGAACTTAGATACATTTTAGTTCATGCTGAAATGTGATAATTTTGGTGCTTTTTATACATCAAGGTAAACTATGGTATTTTTGCAGTTGTTATATAAAAACTACGAAATGCGCGTGGATTTAGAATAATGTTAAAAATCACTTGTGTGTTTTAAGCTTTAATAAATTAGACTATAGTCTAAGCTCTATTCTTTGACAGTGGGGTACATATAACTTGACAGATTTTAATTCAAATTATTGCCTCGTTTATTCGAAATCTCAACATCCGTTTAAGTTGTCGATATTCTCCTTCTACTTTAGTCTGGAGTCACAATTCACTCACCCGTCTCCATTTCGCACTCCACGTCAAAACTGTCGAGTCCTCCAGGCCCGTCTGGATCAACCCGGTACACACCGTCATCTTCGTAGCCTGCTAGTCTCCACTCCTGGCAACTTCTGTACGCTGTGTAAGCAGAGATTATAGAAGAAATTGTGACGAAGGTATACAAACTAATCCCTTTTTTAAACAGAAACAGGAGGGATCATTACAGCTCATCGATGTCTTCGCAAAAAAATGGTGGTTGAAATGAAAAAAAACACAGGCTCCTGATAAGGAGTCGCACAGGCTAGCGAGGTATCCATAAAGATCGCATTAATTGCCTTAAAACGCAAGCAAAACTCTCTCCTCAGGAGCCAAATTTGGGGGAAATTAGAGTTTTAATCACCATACCGAAAGTTTGAAAAATTGCCGAATCAATACCGTAAACTCGAGTCCACAGTCCGATGAAAAGAAACAACCAGACACACATTTTGTCCGTCATTCCGTGAGCATGTTTTGAATCATGTTCGATGTATGATGTTAGTTCTTATATCCCGTTGCAGAAGAGTATGCGTCGATACTCCCAACAAATTGCTCCCCCAAACTGAGAGCTTCCCTTTCAGGGTAGTAATATTTATTTGGCAGACAGCTCACCAAGACTCGTTTTCCCATGCTGTCGTGCTTTGATAGCTATTCAAATTTGCACGGCACATGGCGGCAAGTGTTGACGTGCAAACTGTTGCATTCTTCTTTCACGTTTCTACTCCGGGCACGAGGGTCCCCCTACTCTGTATACGCCCGCCACCTTAAACATGATCCAACATGGCAGTGGAAAGAAAATGACACTTCTGTTTGTCCAACTCGTGGCGAAACGTGTCGGCAACCAATTGACCGTGCGCCATTTCTTGTCAGCGTACAAACAAAACAAAATATACGCAATTAATCTGTATTTGGGGAGTAAATAAAAAACTTCGGGCAACGCGAAAGGCGCACGCTTAATTACGTGCATATTCCATTTTAATTTCAACTATGTTTTTCCTTCGGCCGTTTGTTTGCTTGTTTCTCCCCTACTCCCATGTGTTATTAAAATTGCTTTCAATGTAGTTCATGTATAGAAACGGCGTTGCCATGCAACCCCTGAATAGACGGTCTTAACACTTCCACGCTCTGAGCTGCGACTTTAAAGTGTGGCTGCAACGAAAACACAGTATACTGTGTTCTGCAACTATATACTGCTTTTTAATGTATGTAACCTATTTTCACCGTTAATGAGGTAAATGCATTGAAAAATCCATTTTCAAATATAAAATTATCCATGCTTTCCTGGACAACTGAGGGCGCTGCTCTTATGACGTCAGCCAGGAAAGATATAGCTCATTGCACAGCTTTTCCAGTTCAAATCGTAAACCAAAATGTACTCAATTAAAACCTTTTTTGGAAGGTTTGATTGCTCTCTTACTGCTTTGTACTTGTGCAACGAGGGATCACCAGGGAGAGAAAGTTTAGCCCGGTAAAGTCTTCGAAATAGTAGGCCTTTTGTCTACAAACCAATATCAAATCACGGCTTGCTTCCAATAGGATGAAATCAGTTTTGTTCGCGAATATGGAAATGCTCATTAGCACATGAACCAAAAAGGAAGTAAACAACTGTTTAAAACAGTAAAAAAAAAAATTGTAAAATGAATTTAACATAGACACATGTATCTCTATTGCATTCACAATTCCATTTCAGTCATCCTATCCAAAGCCGAAACGATCTAAAGCAGTGCATCGCTTTCAGGGGACGAAGGGGGGTGACCCATGCAAATTCCACTTATTATGGGGGCACTGGTCGGCGCATGCACCAGACAGTAAACGATGTCCAGCAAAATACACCGGGGTAATTTATATTCTTTACTAAAGAAATCGTGACAGAATCCACGCCGAATAAATTGGACCTTGTTGTGGTCAACAATTTTCTAGTTACACTATGGGCTTTCACTTGTAACTGGACGTCCTGATTGCTTAAAAAGTGATTCCACGCGAGCTTGGCCCACTCCATGGCATCCAAGTGCATGTAAGTGGTCCAAGTGCCCCCTGAACCCTGCTTGACACCTTTCCTTTTTAGAAATCTTGAGCGGTGTCACATAACTTCGTTTTGTCTTAAAATGCACCCAAGCAAGGCATCGTACCTCACTCGATAGAGTCCGAAGACACAGACGAAAACAAGAGTTCTTGAACTGAAGTTCTTACCACTTCAGTCACTGTACCCAACAAAGTTAGGCCTGTTACGCAGTGGTGTATCCAAGTCTTGGATCGGGGGAGGCAAAAAGGATAATTTGTAATAGCATATATACGATTCTTTTCGTCCGTAGAAGAATTCCCCACCTCAAAGAAAAGTGTTAGTACCGTATCTAACATGCTGGTGCTTTCACTTGTCTCCAAGGGAACTTTTTCTCCCCGTGATCTTGGATATGCCACCGCTGTTAAGTCGGATGGCTCCGGTGCCCGTCTTAGAAACCCCTCTGACCTGACGACGCCCATCTTTGAGCGTACCTTCGCTCCGAATTCTCCGCGATTCTTTATCGTCTGAAAAAAAGTAGAAAATATCACAACTACACTGACTGGTGAATGCTGGTTCACCCTGTAGCTACAGTGTGTCAGTACCTGATGACTTGAAGAAGGGCTGCACGCTAGCGCTGGGTGGATCTGCATGCAGGATCGTCGCTATTGCCCCGCCGCGCTTCCATCCTGCAGCAAACCTCGGCGTCATTTTCAAAACGATCTTCCACAGCCGCGAATCATGGCAGCCCGAGTCCCCTGTTATTAATAAACGTCACGTAGGTATATGTCGGAACAAGAAGTTCTTGCCATGCAGGCACACTCGCAGTTGCACTGAGAAATGTCGATGCTCTTCCGCCTTTTCCAGCACAAAGTTCTCAGAGACACCGGTAAAGCTCATTGCTCCCCCCTCTTTACATTCTTTTCTTCATCCGTTATGAGAGCTAATTCAAGCCTGTTTGATCTGTATGGCCCAAACTGTCACAGTCATGATCACGATTGTTTTGGTCGAGCACGGTCAATTTCAGCCAGAGTCGCATGCTATGACTTCATAAATATTCTTTTTTCTCTCAGAACTGGTTGCTAGTCGGAACGGAACCTCAGAGCAAACTTTTTTCTCATTGCTTTACTTCTATCCCCTTAAAACTATCGTTAAATTGCATATGAAAACAGATGCCCCCATTTTGTTGATTACTGAGTGGCATATTGCCCGCCCCTTTGTATCATAGGCTTACAACACAGCTTTCTTCTCCACTTGTAGATTTTATTAGACAACGCCAAGATCGTATACACCTGTTGAAAACGAACTCGCGCTAAGTATTGCTGAGGGAATATTCTGTAAGCCCATTATATGAGGCCTGTACGTGAACTGCTTAGTGTAAGCTATTTCCTACTCTGTGGTGAAATTGTCTATCTTCGAAATATCAAGCTTTGAGGGGAGGGAAACCTGACTTGACGCATGTGCCACATAATGTGCCTGGTACGTGGTAACTAGCGTCTACATAAAGAAGGTTATGCAGTTTCCTTGGACGACACTGCTCAGGTCTACTCTTTTGTTTCAACCAACCAACATTCTTTGTCATCGTAGGCCTACAATTCGTGACGAACAAAACTGCAAGCCCAACAGCAGGCCTACTGGGAAAAGGTCAACTTTCACGGCGAGCAGACGACAAAAGTAATTCTTTGCCACACTATCACATGATACGGTTTCTCCAATCAGCACAAGTGTTATGAAGTAGTTTGGTCGTTCTTGTTGCTATGACGTCACATATCACTAGCCGCCATGTAGATTGCTCTCGTGTATACTTGAGATGCACGTTCAGTCTAGTCACCAAAGTTGGAGTTTGATCGCAGAAAGAAGTTTTAGTAAGTATTGAATAAACCAGTTCCGCGAAGTCAGAGCTACTGCTGTAGTTTTTATGTTCGCTTTTATTATGAGACAAACAGGAATTTTTATTTTTCTAGGGTTTTAGATATTGTTAGGTCAGTTTGGCGTCAGTGGCCTGTGCCTGATTCACTCACTTCTACTAGTGTCGCGAGGGTGCATTAAACTATGTAAACGTGCATAGGCCCTAGTTGATGATACGTTGAGCCACTATCAATCAGAATGATCAGGCCTAGGCCTATATGTAGTTATTGTTGAATCTGGATACATAGGATAGGGCCGCGCAGTTAACATTTTTTAACTGCTGCGCAAAGAAAAGTCTATCATTTATCATGGAGGAATTTTTTATTCCTCCATGCATTTACTACTAGGCTAGATAAAGTCAGTCTAAGATGACGAAGGCTACAACAACTTCAAGTAACGCCTGGGCCTAGCACTTAGCAGTACATTTTATAACCTCATGTATGCCTAACATGAGGCCTACATAGCCTAGCTCAGGTTGGACGCCAGTCTTTGCATTACATGATGTACATGTAGGCCTAGTTGAAGTTTTAAACTTCTGTAGCCTACACTCACTAATGACAGTCAGACAGTTATGACAATGTACAGTTCCATACGTCATGGGTACATGTACGTTTAAGGCTTATGTACGATACATCAAGTCATTATAGAAGACATAAGTACTAGGCCGAAAGTTTAAATATGGACCAAATTCAGTGTGACAGTAAGCCTACTGTTTTATCATTCCTTCATGGTTGATCTGCGTCAGTGTCATCATGGATTCATGATGCCACACTGGTTGGGTGGCCAGTCCTGCTGCCATTGCTGTACCTAAGCCTACATGTACTTCAATCTGTATTTTGTTACAAATCGCAGACATGACTTCCCTAACACAGTCACCCACAGCTGTAATTGGAAGGCAAGGTGATTAGCCATGTTGGCTGATGGCAGAGATGTCAACAGATCATGCTGCAAGATCGACCAATTATGAAGCAGTTGATCAATATGCCAATTTCCCGTTCCATCGCCATGTTGATTTTAGCTCCCCTGCACGATGAAAAAAGCTAGAGGGGAAATTGTCTACAACAGTGACAGTTGCGAGTATCCATTCGCCAAATGTTACACAATGTTGTTGTCGTGAATTTGTTCCTCTCTGTTAAATTATCTGAGCATACGCAGTTACGCACATGAAATGTGAAAAACGCTCATTGTGCCTACCATGGTAACAATGCCCAGCATTTGTACATGTACATAGGTCACATACCATTTTGACTATAGCCATTGCTGCCGTAGGTCAAAGTCATGCCCCTGCTCAAGTAGGTCTATTTTGTTGAACTCGGCAAACATTGGCAAAGGAGTTTGGATGTAATGCTGCGGTCTGCCGTTCATGTCAACAAACTCTAGAACAAGTGAACAGGCAAAATTTTTTGGTACCTGTAGGCCTACTTTGTGCTTTGGCAGTACTTCACTCCTTCAGGTCAAAGTGTATGTTTGCTGGAAATCCTATCCAGACTGATGATGTATGGGACAAAATTGACATACACTGTAACTACAATGTATACTTCTATGTATGACCATAACATTGCCCAGTTCACAAAATTACAAATTCCAAGTTCTGTTTGGAGAGACCAAATTTCCGCTGGCTACATTGTTGGTCAATATCTGACCATCAGTTTGATGATTTCAATAACCTTTGTTGCGTAAGCATGCTTAATTGTCCATTCATGCCATTTTAATAAGACCCCTCCCCCCAAAAATGATAATGATGTATTTAATTCCCCAAGTTGTGTGGAATTGGAAGGATGTCACATTTTTAAACTCAGTAAAGATAGGGGCCTATCATCATTGACATTTCTTTCGAATTCTGTAACATTCAAGTTGGGGCCAGTAGGCCTACAATGTACATACAGTGTGAGATGTACGTGTACATCTCAGTCAATAATGCCCTCTTAATAACTAATGAATCACTTAAAGAATATGTCCATTTTATTTATATGCCTGCCATTTGTTTTTGTTACAAACACAGGTGCTGTCTACAGACCATTGCATTCTGTTTTTGAAAGAAGATAAATTTGCAGACTAGGGCCTTGTTTCCCCATTGAAACTGAGCATTGCTTTTCTGTACATAATAAATGTACCTGTAGCTTCAACAACAGGGCCATCTACATAGTTTTGACAGATTTTCAGGTTCATTAACCCTAACCCTCCTCAATCCTTCACCTGTTGGAGGACTGAGGAGTATTAGGGTTAACAGATATTCCATCTTGTTAGAAACTGAGTTTCGGTTTTATTATTTGAGACAATTTCTGGCTCATCATAGACATACATGTACTCAGTTTACAGACCTTGAGTCATTTAAAATAAGCACGTCATTGTAAAATACACGTACTTCCTATGTGTACTTCATTGTCATTGCTTAAAAAATAAAAGACTTAGAGGGAGTCAGGTTGGCAAGGTACATGTAGTTGTTTCCTCGCCTTCCACCTCTTTGTCCTGGGTTCGATTCCCGGCCCGGTCCACATGTGGATTGGGTTTTCAATCCCTACCTGACTCCATGGGTTTTACCCAGAATATTCCTCTGGGGTTTTCCTCCCACCTCTAAAACTGTAACTGCTTCTTACTGTCTCCTTTTACTGATGTTGGTGAATGTGAGTCATTTGGTGGCTGCCCCAGGCACCCTTGTATGCCATCAGCTCAACCATGTTTAAATGTATTCATTGTTCCCCGCTTAATGTCTTCATTGTACAGTGCATTTGAACGTATTTATATGAAATTTGCGCTTTATAAATGAATAAATTATTATTAATTATTATTATAAAGTAAAATATAAAGTCTCTCCGCTTTTATAAAATGAAGCTCCTTCTCCATCCCCTTTCCAATCCAATTCTTAAACACACACAAACATGTACATATATAGTTTAATTTAAGAAATCTCAGTCTATTCTGTAGTTTAAAATGTTGTACGTGTAATGTTACATCTGGGGGTCCATAAAAGTAGGGGTCAAGTGATGTATTAGCATAATTGAAAACTTGAACAAAGGGACTGATGGCATGCATTCAGAGCAAAACAAAGCCAACAATCTGTTTGTATTTTCCTATTCGCACCATAAATGTAAACAGCCTTATTGAACTTTGGCCCACGCTTAGATAGTGCCTGAAAAACCTCTGACGATTGAACACTTAAACTCTACTCGTTCATATCACACATGTATAGTGCATGCCTGTACACCAGAAGAATTGGTCCAGAGTTTCAAATATCAACGGAAGCTAAGTTATAGCTGGGAGGGGGGGTGATTTCTGCTGTTCATTTTCAGAGTTGGTCTCTTTACAAATTTTGGTACAAGTTGTTGTGTAATGTCACAAAAGGCAGTGCATAGTTTAGATTGAAATAGATTGTGAGTGCTTGTAGAGTACATGTACATGTATAGAATTTCGAATGGACTTTGAAACTCACTGTGCATGAGTTACTGGTGTCAGTATTTCAGTGTCATTCACTATGGAGCTGTCCAACAGTGTACATCATGTATATTGTTGGTGTTGATTTCAAGTCCTTGAGTCTTACACATGGAAGTGGCTGGCATCAAGAGTTCATTTTAGGACAACTTTTGTGAGAGTGCTGGGAAAATGGGCCTCTATAGATGCATTTATCCATTTAGGTATTCCCGTCCTGCACTTCGTTTGCTTGGCCTCACCCGTTGCCCAGCAACGATGAATTTAGAAACGGAGTAAAACAAAGTGTTGAGTCAAAACGGATCTCAGGGGGGAAAAAAAGACACTTGATAAATTGCATGTTTCCTGTGGACACTGGCAGTACTCATTGAAATTCTCTGAGGAGTACCTGTTTCCTGTTTGCCCTTTAGAAGTCCCGCTGTATTTCAACCGGCGTAATTGGTTTTGCTGCACTTCTCACCCTTTTTTTTTCTCTGTTTTCTCTCAGAAACGGGAAGAGACGATGCTCTGACAGGATGCGCCAGCCAGCACTCTCCTCCTGAAGGAAGCAATCCTTGTTGGCAATCCATTTAAGTGTCGGGTGACGTCGTGTACAAAGGGGGTAAATTACATCATTAACCAGGGACAGTGAGGGAGCTGACCATGGATGTGAAATAGCAGAGTTCCAGGAGCGTGACCCCAGTAGTTATGGCTATGTTCCATTAGGAGATCATCAATGCCTCGTTTAGGCCTGCACACTAAGGTTTGAAAGCACACTCAGTCTTGAGAGATGCCTGACACTGCATACTGATCAGAGGCCTATGAACAACACTTCTGGCCGGACAGCGCCCAAGATGAAGAGTGTTCAGCTGAGTGCCGACTTGCCACCAGCCGACTCCCACATCATGCTAACCTATAACAGTCTGCCAGCCAGGCCACACCGGGCCATGCCCAGGAACAAGACAGGGATTTATTTGGGCAGCGTAAGTCATTTTTTTATTTTGCCCTTTTCATTTATTTAGTCAGTAGTAGTAAAAATGTTCATACATTCATAGTCAAATATGAAGACACGTACAAGTACCTTTTTTTTTACTGGTGCCAAGTTAAGAGTGTTGCATTGGGGATCTGGACATATCTGGACATCGGTGAAATTTTGTGCATTTTCAGAACACTAAGGCCTGTTCACTTAAGGTAATCCACC